GAACCAAAAGGAAAGAATACCACACCTGAAAGTCGTGTGCCTGCCTGATCATAGGTCGTGAGATAATGCAATATGACGCTGCAAAAGTTGCTGCAAAAACGGAGGTTTCTGGCAATTCAGAACGGCTGCACAGTTGAAGAAACGCATCGGCGAGGAATCCCTGGGACCGCAAGATCAGCGGGACAGACTCAAAAGGCTGGAAAAACAGTATGGCCGGCTGTTGCAGTTTACTTAGATGAATTACCAACTTAAAATTCGTAAATTCGGTAGTCCGGACAGTCATCACTCACCCTGAAAAGGGTTGCCTCAATTGGCTCCATGGCACCATGTCGGAGCCACCATGGAAATCACACTAGACAAGAATGGATCATTATATGATCCGGCAGGAACTGAATCCTGAAACATGCAAACCAGCCTAGATTATTTGATGAATAAAAGAGCCACATGAGGTACTTCTCGAAAACGATGTAGGGCATCCGAAATTGTCAAACGTAGTCATAACCAGATTCCATAGAGTTTTGACCAGCATGTTGAAATCCAAAATAATGTTTCGGCGATTGTTTCCCAAAATAACCCATAGTTCGTCGGCGACAGGATCTCGGCGAAAATAAGTCAAAAAACATAATACTGTCGGCGAAATGGTTTCGGCGAAAATCTGAGGAAGGTTCTGATGCATGTAAATTTCAAAATTGATTCCAGATTGCGACAACAGTGCAGCAAATTGTATAATATTGTGGTTGGGGTTCTAAGCTTGGCCCCTTGCTATTTCGGAAAATTCGAGCTGCAGGTACGCATGGCTGATCAGGCCATGTATCACCAGGGAAGCCAGAGTGTCTTCGTTGGTGGTAGACTCTGGACCCTGCTACCACCCCCTGCAAATTAGTGAAAACCAATCAGAAGTTTTACATCTGTTCAGATGATACACACACACACGCACACCCACACACCTCACCCACAAACACAACTCATCCGTACACAACTTACTCACACATACTCGTCCACACATAACTTACTCCACACCAATCCTTCACCATCTCTTTTCTCTTTCTTGCTTACCCCATGCCGTCTTTGCCTTTCTTTTGTTGCTTGTTGGAAGAAGTTGACTTGTGGGGTTATCCGGTCCTTTAATTTGTTGGTTGAAGAGTTGCCTGCCACATGTTGGAATTCGCACTGTTCCCATCCCCTGAGGCTGCGGCTCCACATGGAGTCCTTGGCAAATCAACCATCCATGGCCAGGCGCAGCAGCCAATAGTTGTTTAAGGTGGTAAACCGAATACCTACCATTTGGGGATGGTTGGGTGTTTTGTTTTATTGTTGGGTGTTACAACTTTAGCTTCCCATCTCCGAATTGTACAGTGGCCTTGCTGTACTGCACATTCAACACCTGACATAGAGTCGTTGCGACGGCACGAGGCGAGCCGAGCCAAGGGGCTCGAAAACCCACCACTCGCGCATGAGGATCGGGGTTGATTTCCGCTAAGAGCATCAGCCGTAGGCTGCAGTCCAGCTCTGAACCATTCCTCACCGCACCACATCCCATCCCATCCCCAAAATGGGGTTCCTTTAAAATCTTTAAAATAGAGCTGCCCATGGCCCCCATATCATCCGTTTATGGATGTTCCCTGGTCATGATAATTTTCCACCATCCAGCTATTGGGGTGCCCATGGGTGCCCCATTGGATCAGGAAACGCGCCTGCCAGAGTGTTGATGCCAGGCGTAAAGGCTGCTTCCCTTGTAGCCCTTCCACTTGGCCAAACGTTCCTGCGGACGTGACGTGACTCTCGGCGGGATCAATTGGTTTTTGAGCCAAGATGGCCTTCCTGCAAAGTCATCAAAATCTTTCCCTGAAAACCAATTCTGAGATCGGAACTTTGAGATGGGCCAGCTGTTTTGTTTGAGATAATTCTCGGTGCCCGAATAGATGCCGACATGATCTGAGATGATTTTAAATGGTGACCTCACTGGCCAATTCTGCCACTTTCCGCAAGTCGCGGAGCCTTGTTCATTGCATAGATGTCCTTCCAGAGCCCGTAATTTCCACCTGCGAATTTCGGCGCGTAGCTCTCAAAAGTGCATAACACTGCTACAGGATCAAAGTGCAACACTGATTACAGGAATTTCTATTCTAATGCCACCCTAAAACACCAACCAACTCGCAAAGCTGGTTCGGTGCGCCTTTGATGTCGTACCTCAGCTGTTGGAGAGTGGTGAACTGTGGTGAAAGCATTCGCCCCCCCCCCAAAAAAAAACTCGCTTTCCAGACAAACCAGACATCCACCGAAGCGGGGGTTCCAGCATGTTCCACTTGTTCCACTTCCGGCCCCATCCCGGATCTCGGTGCCAGGCCCTGGGATCTGATTCAACATGTGCAAAATGCTGGTGGAGCCCGTGCGCCCAGAGGTCACTACAAAGACGGCCTTCACGCACTCGTCACCTGGTTCCCATGGTTCCCGACCGATCCCACCGAAATTTGATGCCCCGCGTTTGCAATGAGGCCTGTGGGGCAGACAAACTTATGCTAGATACCTTGAAAATACCGTAGAAAATACCTTTAAATACTCCAGGGTTTGTGGGGAGAGGGGAATAGCGTACAACCCATTTTTGCTTTGGAAAGGCATGCTGTCCCTCCACCAATGCAGCCACAAGAGCAGCCATGCATCTTCTGAAGTTGAACTCCATGCTGCAGGAACTGAACCTCGCCTTGGAACCATAGGTTCCAACATTGCCAAGTCATATGTTATGTGGGTAAAACATCCCCCTTGAAATTCGCCCCGAGAGGTTGGGCCTACCAAAGTGTAGGGTGCCCAGCCTACCCCCCTACAAAATGGTATGGGGACCTACAAAATGGTAGCACCCATGGGGGTTGCTGCCTACAAAATGGTGGCCCCAGGGTGCCCCACCTGCCCACCAACATCAAGTATTTTGGGTTAACATAGTGTCCAAAAACTGCGAAAAATGGGAGAACCATTTTGTAAGACACAAAGCAACCCTGTGGTCGCACCCTGGTCTTTTTTGGGCGACCAATTTGTAGACAGTTTACTCTCAATGAAATTTCTTCTTAAAATCTCTCAAGCAATCCTTGCATATCTCAAATTTTTGCATCTTGTGCATCTGGCAATCGGGTTTCATAGAGTATCGTCCAACAGAAGTAGTCAGATAGACTGGACCAAAGTAGTGGTCATCGCTTTTTTTTCTGGACCGGGGCTGGTTTCAAAATTTTGGAGGCTTTGAAAACTTTGCGATCATCTCCACCACAAAATCCACATGGTCGGCAGACACACTTTCTAAGTAGGATCCCCATTGCCAAGCCTATTGCAAAGGCAGCCACCACAATCCCCTCCAACAAACCCATGTAGCTTGGCACTCGAGATTATTACAAAATATTTCTTGAACCAGCATGAACCAGCTACAAAATGGTAGTGCCAGAGTATCATGAACATGCTTGTGGATGTGATCAGCTAGTTCGAGGGCTTGGGGGAAGCGGCCGGCACTGCTGAGCCAACCAAAAGCGGTTGATATTTTTTTGTGTTCAAATATATTTACATTTGTGGATGTATTTATCAACTCCCCTTACCCATCTACAAAATGGTATTCCAAATCTTCTACAAAATGGAGGTGCCTGACACTGGCATATGATCTTGTTCTCATATAAAGTGATGTTGGGTGTGTATAAACAGGTCTCTTTCTACAAAATGGAGTGCCCCGACGGAAAAAAAAAAAACATAAAATCTGATTTATAGGGAGCCCAGGGCCTACCATTTTAAATGGGAAATGTCAACGGGGATGGTAAAATAACAATAAACCACCCATTTGGAATGGTAGACATATCACCTACTATATTTACGGTGATTTGGGGGATGGTTTATTGTTGTTTTACCCACATTGCACATAAAAGGGCGCGTGCACTTCTCAGACTGAATATTGACGGGATTGACCTATTAGTTCAAATCTTGAAAAAACAAGTGACCGCCTGACAGTCTGACAGGCCAGGGCCTAGTGGTCCTAGTGGCACCCAGTAGGCCCTGTTTTGAAAGGTTAGCAATAGGGTTCATAGTCCCCAGATTCTAATAGGGACAAGCCTCTAGAGGTACAATTCAACCGTTTCGATTGTTGTTCCCCCTATTTAAACACCGCCAAAGCCCTAGTGGGCCTAGTGGAGTCACTGGTGGAGTATTTTTTGACGATGATTTTCAGGGCTCCTCCTTGAAGTTGATGGATCATCCCAGCACAACTCGGAACTCCAAGCCTCGTAGCTTGTCGATCTCAGTCTCCCACACTTCGGGACCCTCCTGCGCAGGCTTACACCTTTCTGCCCAGGAGTTTGCCGTGGGATAGTTACTGCAACAGACTGATTTACACATCCCTAAGTTCCAGACATGGAACCCAACATTAGCAGTCTTCTTGGTTGTGGCGCAGTATAGTTTTGTTTGCAGGGTGCACTTTCAATGTGCATATCCATGTATTCCAGTATAATATGGAATAATTTGGCCATACCCAGCACATGGCAAAGCACCATCCTTCGCATGTTTTCACGCCTTAAAATGTGAGACAGCAACATTTCCAACACCAACTTGGCGCCTGAAGGGGGCAGGCAGGGTCAGCACATGCCAACCAGACCAGGAAGGCCCAACGCCATGGAACCTGGGACGTTTCGCCACTGGAGTCACTCCGATCTGCCAGCCATTCAGCCCCTGAGCTACCAGCCATTCGGTCGCCGCCCAATTGGCTCTACAAGAGCCAAAGTTGCCACAACAAGTTGGATCGGGAATGCCACCCCAGCAAGGGAAAGTGTTGAAAACAAAAAACACCTAAAGTGGATGATCTATGATAAATGATGGAAACAACGGCCCCACCAAAATGGGCAACATCATATCACATCTCTGATTGTCCAGAAACAAATCCAACCAAAACATGATATTTCTTGAAGAAAAAACACTAAGAATCCTACATGTTCATCCAAGATTCTCTGAGAGATTAGCAGTCTTAGCAGCCCAAATCCGTCATTTCTCAATCACTCGAGCTGTGGCTCCGCGGCTCCTGCGTTTCCTCGACCTTTTCGGTCGGGGTGCCCTTTAGGATACCCTTCTCCCGCAGCAGTTGGTGTAGGATGAGGACAATGAGGATAGTGGAGGGCACAATGCACAGCAGCAAGATCAACGTCAGCAGGAAGCACCTAACCGGTTAGAAAAAAACCTGCTTAAAATTGGAAGCATGAAATGCAAAAATGAATATTACTAGTAACGGTAACAATTATGACAAGGATAGAAATAGAGAAAAACATAAGAATCAAGTATGTAATGATAATTATCCAACTAGCAATTAATAACAATGACTATGCGACAATAATCTACCAATAAAACAACAATAAAATCTAATCACTTCGGAGCAATGGCCCAAAGCTGTCATCAACCCACAGGGCTGGGACCCCATGACAGGGCACTGATTTCGGTGCGTCGAGGACCAGTGGTACTCGTTGGCCAGGAAGCAAGAAGTGACACTGACCATCGCTAAGGACACGGTGAGAAGAATCTTCTCTTCCAAGTTCCAACCTCTGGGGCCCCTTTTGATGACTTGGGCAACATCAGCCCTCTGAGAACATGAGAACGCCAACAATCACAGGAAAAAATTGTCCAACAATCATGGCGGATAAATGTGTATACTATATATATGTGCAATATATATATATCTATCTATCTATCTATCTGTCTATCTATCTATCTATCTGTCTGTCTGTCTGTCTATCTATTTATCTATCTATCTATCTATCTATCTATCAAATCTATCAACCTATCTAATCTATCCATCTATCTTTCAAATTTTTCAACCTATCTAATCTATCTAATCTATCTATCTATCTATCTATCTGTCTGTCTATCTATCTATATCTATCTGTCTGTCTGTCTATCTATCTATTTATCTATCTATCTATCAAATCTATCAACCTATCTAATCTATCCATCTATCTTTCAAATCTTTCAACCTATCTAATCTATCTAATCTATCTATCTATCTATCTGTCTGTCTATCTATCTATATCTATCTGTCTGTCTGTCTATCTATCTATTTATCTATCCTATCTATCTAATCTATCTAATCTATCTAATCTATCTAATCTATCTAATCTATCTAATCTATCAAATCTATCAACCTATCTAATCTATCCATCTATCTAATCTAATCTAATCTAATCTAATTAATCTAATCTCATCTCATCTAATCTAATCTAATCTAATCTAATCTATCTATGTGTGTGTAATAATTCACTGACCTGAAAAGTTCGGCTATCCCTTATCGCCGGCCGCGCCCCTGTGCTGAAAAGTTCGGCTATCTCCACCATGGGACGATTGTCCTTGTAGGGGTGGAACTGCATTTCCAGCACCAGAGCCGTCAGCAAGACCAAGCCTTGATTTGCACGTCCCAGGATCCCAGGCATTGGGACCATGTACTCAGGGGTTTCCCCACTTGTTTTTGTTTGCCATGTTTGCCTATTTTTTTTGTAATCTGAAGCCCATTCTTGGACAAAGCCCAGCGGGCTTTTGGGCACAGCAAACAATCAGACATGACCCATTGGCCCCCATCATACCTTGGCCTTGCCAAACAAATCAACCGTCAGACTCATCTCTCAGAATTGACTCTCGAACTAGCGTTCCTTCTCCACCTCTGAATGGTGGTGAAACCATCGACACCATGGGATGGTTTGAAAGAACAAAATGCAGTCCAGCGGCTGATGCACATGATCTGCATGGCGGGATGGAGACTGATTGGCAGTGCAGCGCAAATGATGGCCAAAAACACCTGAAGGTGTCTGAAAAAATATGGTGTCCTAAAATGGGGGGTGCCCCGTCCAAAATTAGACCATTTTAGGATTGAAACCCACAGTTTTGGGGCCCCGCATTTTAATAAACACCCATGTCTGAAACTTGGGATCAAACCAAGAATTGTGATTCAACCCACAAGAGTGGGGAAATGAATTGACCAACAAGAGTTGGTGACTTTACCAACAAAAAAAAACACAAATTTGGATTGATTTGTACGAAAATGTGGTATACTATATGCCCCAATAGTATTGTATTACATTGAATTATATGTATTATATCAAATCATATTAAATTGTCATAGATGCACATAGATACATACATTTGCAATTGTAGATATATGTAATGTAATGTAATGTAATGTAATGTAACGCAATTGCAATCGCAATTGCAATTGCAATTGTAATTGTAATGTAAGGTATGTATGTATTTCTCAATTTATTTACTTAATTTGAATGTTGATTATCACATAGTATCACATAGTTGTAAGTTCAATATAGGAAACGACTAGACATCGTGGGATCCAGGTCATCCTTGGAGATGGGTGAGGCATCAAAAAAAAATCCCCTGGAATCCCTTGTTTGATATGGTCCTTGCAACGGTTTGGAGACAAAACCGAGCATTTCTCTGGTATCGTTTTGGAAGTGGAGCCTCTCGCCCGTAAGGTTTTTGCAGGACATTGGACCTAGAAATCGAGCATTCGCAGGGCTCGACGCTGCCGTTTTGACAGCACATGCAACACTTTGGAGTTCGAATTTTTGATTTTCGATGGTTGCTTTGAAAGCTACGTTGGTTTAAAGTCTGTTTATGTTTGGTTTAGGGTTGATTTAGGCTTGGTTTGAGGCCTATTACGTTGACTTAGGTTGGTTTAGGGTTAGTTTAGGGTTGGCCTATGGTTTACTAGGTGTCTATTCAGGGTCGGTAGAAAGTTCATTTAGGTTTCGTTCAAATATTATTCAAAGTTATTTAAAGTGTTTTGGTGTTTATGTAGGGTTGGTTTAGGGTTTATTTTGATTTCGTTCAAGACTTTGTGGTTTGGGTTTCGCTTGGGATCTATTGAGGGTTGGTTGTTTGTTTATTTAGGGTTGGTTTAGGATTTGTTTAGGGTATATTTAGGGTTGGTTTTAGGGTTTGTTTAGGGTTGGTATTAAGATTTGCGTAGGTGCTGCTCAAAGTTTATTTAGGGTTGATTCAGGATGTATTTGGGATTGGTTCGTGGTTGGTTTAGGTGTTGTTTAGGGTTGGTTCAGGGTTTCTTTAGGGTTGGCTTAGGGGTTATTTTGGGTTGGTTTAAAGTCTATGTAGGTCTTGTTTCCGGTGTGTTTAAGGTTGGTTTAGTGATTTTTTTCTGGTTGGTTCAGGGTTGGTTTAGGATTTATGTAGGGTTCGTTTGTCGTTTATTCGGGTTTGCTTAGGATTTATTTAGGGTTTATTTACGGTTGGCTTATGGTTTTTTAGGGGTGGCTTAGGGTTCATTTGGGGTTGGTTTAGGGATTATTTGCGATTGGTTTAAAGTTGATTTTGGTTTCGGTTTAGGTTTCGTTTAGGGTTTATGTAAGATTTGTCTAGGGTTAGTTTAGGGCTGATTGAGGGTTGGTTAAGGATTCGTTTAAGACTTACTTTGGCTTCGGGGATAGTTTAGGGGTTATTGAGGCTGATTTAAGTTCTTTTTACGGCTGGTTGAATTAAGGATTATCTTCAAAATGTTTTAATGCACCAGAGCCACCAAAGGACGGAAGGACCAAGGGACCAGAAGACCAGAGGACCAAGGGACCGGAGGACCAAGGGACCAGAGGACCAAGGGACCAGAGGACCAAGGGACCAAAGGACCAAGGGACCAAAGGACTAAGAGACCAGAGGACCAAGGGACCAGGGGACCAAGGGAGAGGACTGAAGGACCGGGAGATTCAAAGACCACAAGATTTGAAAATGGCATAAACGGGCCAAAACACTGCACCAGCGCAGGAAAATTGAATATTTTTTGTTTGATCCCTTAAATATTTTTTGATACCTTAAATATTTTTTTGAACCCCATGCCCCTTGGAGATGCCAATGGACCCAGAAGTGATCAGACAGGTTTCACAATTTGACCCCCTAGGCCCTGAAGGCCAAGTACCCAACAATAGGTCACAAAAGGAGGCATCATCCATAAACCCACAGCAAATGGACATCCAGCCTTGCGAATCAGTCGCGTCGCCTCCCAACTCTTCCATTCCTGCATTTTTTTTGCAGGAACCCCATTGAAAGGTAATCATTGAAACCTGCAGTTCTCTACTAGTAGTGAATTCAGCTGCCAAACTTCATATCACAAGTACCCGTTGTCATTCTCGGATATTCTCGGGTGCCGTAGTTTTAAACGGGTACGATGAACATCCCAGGCTTAAACATTGCATGACAACGGCTATCAAGGACGATGCCCGTGTCCTCTTTATACGAGGCTGTCAAGTACCTTGGTGCCGTGTCAACTGTTAGGCGCGCTACCTATCGTATCATGGGAGCATCACCCCACAACCAAACTTCACCATTTGGGGAATATTCTAACTTTAACCCCAATCAATATTAATTATATAAATATATATATATCCTACCACAGTTGGGTTGCTTATTGGTCTTGCCACATTGCGAAGCCAACACAAACACCACCCTTCAACCAAACCTCAGCTGGGTATGATTCATCATAACCACATGGCAAGTCATTGGGCGAGGTTTCTGCTCTGGCTCCACCACTTTACTTGCCATTAATCACAACTGATCCAAACAAGTTACCATAAGGCACCACTAACCACAATTAAGTCCTTCCCAAAATATAACATACCCGGCACACCCCCCAAACCAAACCACTGGTTCGATCATAATCCATTCCTGGAGGTCCCATGAGGGCCCCTTTCGGGCACTTGGGTTTGAGTATAGCCACGGGATGGCAATATGTAACCCCCATAAGTTCCCATGAGTTGGGATATAAATAGATAATTGCCTAGAACTGTGGCAATACTATGGCGAACTACCGTTGGAAAATCTTGGAAACCTGAAAGTTGATTCTCACTGCCTTTTTTACTATGGTGAAATATTTCCGACCTGCCATCAGTGCCATCTCTCGAGGGTGCAGGTAGAAGGGTTCGTCCTTGTGCTCCTCATCTCCTAGCAGCATCCACCACAAGGCTGGCCCTGCCAGGGCTATGGAAGCCACCACCAGCAGCAGAGAAAGCAGGGAAAAGTTGGTGTAGAGCGCCTAGGCTGTGGCCAGCTTGGAAAATGCCACACAAATGCTGGAAAATGGGGATTTAATGGGGAGTTCTATGGATTTGTTCTATTCTACTGGTGGGGTATGCTGATTTCTTTTTTCTCCGGCACGTCCTCGGTGATCAGAAAGTTCATGTCATGTTTCATGGGATCACGTAGGAAAATCATGTCTAAATATGGGAACTTCCAGCGATTGCTGGACAGGTGTGTTGCGAAAATGGTGAGCATCCAGGGTACAGCCATTTGCTTTGGTGTCAAAACCCATGGTACTTTAGGGGCGTTGACCCATACAAAAAATTCAAACCAAACGGGGCAGATGCTGAACTCACTGCACCTAGGGACCCATTCGCAGAAGAGCTGTCCACCCTCATGTTCGGGTTCCATACGGTAGCCTGCAGTAATCTGCGGCGGCCACTGACACAGTTTCAAGATCAGCATCTACAATTTGGAAACACTGTGGGTCGGCATGTGTAACATATATATATATATCATGTGTGTGTATGTATGTATGTATGTATGTATGTGTGTGTGTATGTATGTATGTATGTATGTATGTATGTATGTATGTATGTATGTATGTATGTATGTATGTATGGATGGATGGATGGATGGATGGATGGATGGATGGATGTACGTAGGTATGTATGTATGCATGCATACATGCATGCATGCATGGATGGATGGATGGATGTATGGATGTATGGATGTATGTATGTATTGTATTCTATTCTATTCTATTGTATTGTATTGTATTGTAATGTATGTATGTGTATGTATGTGTGTATGTGTGTATGTGTGTATGTGTGTATGTATGTATGTATGTATGTATGTATGTATCTGTCTATCTATCTATCTATCTATCTATCTATGTATCTATGTATCTATGTATCTATGTATCTATGTATGTATCTATGTATCTATGTATCTATGTATCTATGTATCTATGTATCTATGTATCTATGTGTGTGTGTGTCTATGTGTGTATCTATGTATGTACCTATGTATCTATCTATGTATTTATGTATGCATGCATGCATGCATGTATGCATGCATGCATGTATGTATGTATGTGATTATGTTATTATGTCATTATGTTATGTATGTTATGTATGTTATGAATGTTATGTGGGGTATGTACTGTTTCTTATGTATGTGATGTATGTTATGTAATTTATTTTATGTATGTTATGCATGTTATGTATCTTATGTTATGTTATGTTATGCTATGTTATGTCATGTTATGTTATGCATGCATGCATGTATGTATGTATGTATGTAATGTATGCATTGTAGTGGAGGTAATGTAAAGGAAGGTATGTATGTATGCAATGTATTAATGTAACGTATTAATGTAATGCAATGGTAGATGTAGAATTGGATGTAAATGTAAATGTAAATGTACTGTAACGTATGTATGTTTGTGTGTATTCATATCTCTGTGTTTGTGCACATATGTATGGATGGAGGGGTGCAGGGATGGACGCATGGATAGATAGATGAATGGGAAGGCATAGAGAGAGAGAGATGACATAAGATAAGATAAGATAAGACCAGATAAGAAAGGAGACGATAAGACAAGAAAAAATAACAAAATCTGAGTTAGTAGGGTAAATAAGTACATAGACAAGCAGAAAGATATATAGATTGGTAGGTAAATAGATTGACTAGTAGATTGATACACAGTTAGATAGGTAACTGCAGAAAAATATAGATAGATATATTCTTACATAGCTAGATAGACAGATAGATAGATAGATAGACAGAGAGAAACATAGATACACGCATTAGATAGATGGATAGATAGATCAATCGACCGATGGATCGACAGATTAGATCGATAGACACATAGATAGATAGAGATACGGATAGAGATAGCGATAGATATAGATAGATAATCAGAAAATAAAATCAGATATATAAGATAAGATATAAGATATGTAATAGAGATATGTAAGATAAGATGTGCAAGATAAGATATGTAAGATAAGATATGCAAGATAAGATGTGCAAGATAAGATATGTAAGATAAGATATGCAAGATAAGATATGTAAGATAAGATATGTAAGATAAGATATGTAAGATGCGATATGTAAGATAAGATATGTAAGAAAGGGTGGGATAAGATAAGATAAATATAAAGAAAAAACAAGATAGGAGAAGATAAGATAGTTTAGATAGATGAATGGATAAATAGATAGATCAACAAGTAGATAAGTAGATAGTGTAGGCAAATAGACACCTAGATAGCTAGATTACTAGATAGCTAGCTAGATAGGTAATTGGATAAATTGAGTTGTCGTGGGCGTTGGGACCCCATGTTGAACCCACAGGACTGGCAATGCTATATATATATCTATCTAGCGCATGATACTGTAGGTCCATCCTGGCTTGCATGTCAACTATTGAGAGAGAGAGAGAAAGAAAGAGACAACCCAGCATCTATCTCGTGAACAGACTGATGGGGTCCCTGGGAGTGTGACACAAGAATGCTTCAACCCTCAAGCTTGTCCACAGCTTTGGTGTATGGTCACAATTACGCCAGCATAAACACAAGATAGCAAAAAAAAAATGGGCAGCAACCAAACCCTATGCCCAGCAAGCGCACACTGCACCCTGCAGCGGCACCCTCACCCAGGCTCTAAAGCTCACACTGCCATAGATATCCGCACACAGGCAACTCGTCTATCTCTAGTGCAGGAAGCCCAATAGCTATCTTTTTATTGGAAGCTAGCCTCCAATATTTAAGCAACGCTTTGCTGATATGATAGCTATTGGGTATCCCAAAAATGGTGTTCCCCAAGAAACCGTGGCCCGGGCCCAGCTCACAGAGCTCGCTTGCCCAGTAGCAGACCAAGTATCTGGCGAAGCAAAGGCAAACCTTCGGTAGAAAGCAATTCCTCAGTGCTCCCCGAACGTGGGGAAAGACTTAGCAAATGTTGATTTATAAGCCTAGGTCAACCAGGGTTTATGCTAGTTTCTGGAAATTATATGAAATTATCTGAACTGAGTGACAGTCAAAATGGAGCGCCCTAAAATGTTATAAAATGTTGATCATCATCATTTCCCCAAGTGAAATTGCTACTTTGGGTATACACCAGTTCTGGACAATCCTACATTGGATCATGATGGTCTGCCATGACTGTAAGGCTAGAAGCGGCTAGAATTTCTTGAGCACTTGAGACAAATCGGCCCATCCTCATGCTGTGGTCAGTTCAAACCGACGATTTGAGCATGTACATATGGGTGTCTCTGTATGTTTGTATGTCAAGTATAGGAAATATGTGCAGAAACACACGCACGCACACACAGGCCGCTGATTTCCAAATATGATACATGGTGCGATGTATGATATGAAAGATCTGACATATGATGGAGGAGAAGAAAAAAACGCAAACAAAAATAACATGTTCTTATTTATATAGCTTAGCAGAGCATATGCAAATAATATATATAATCATATATTATATCATATAAACTTCTGTAGCCCATCTCTTTGGAGTCCCGTGTCGTGCCCCCCAATGGGTGTGCCATGGAACACTCCTACCACCACGGCGATGCGCCAGCCGCGCAGCAGGGTCAAAGCCAGCACTGAAAGGAAGGGCGTCAGCAGATTCAGCATGATCTGGGCAGGGACATCTTCTAACCATATATTATGGTATACCCTCTGGTAAACCATTATGGGGATATAATAATAATGATATAAAATTTGGAGTAGATATGACAATAAACTCAGACATGACATGGGCATCTTCGTTTTTGATGAGATATCTTCTTAAAATTTGGAGCAGTAGACATGACATGGGAAATGATTGGGAATGGTGTTAATGTTGCTGAGTAAAGTATAATAATTCACCAACCTGAAATGCTGGTCTATGTTGGGATAATTCCCAAATCCTAACCATTCCTAACCATCATTCCAGTGAGACCGCAGTGAGGTCGTTGTAATTTCCCCAGATGCTGCTAAAAATTGAAAAAATGGTGGATATGCGGGGAAATGTGGAAAGAAGTTGAGAAATTGGAGGAAGATTGTTCGGAAATTATGGTAAATGTTGCGAAAAATTGCACATCTGTGCCCCAGTCACTGTGGTAAGATTGTGGGGCCCCATGATCTTTCTGTCATCCAATTGTAGGACCGGGTACTTGGATCATGATCACCACCTGACTATGTGGATGTGATCAGATGCCATGGATGGCACTGTCCCTTGCTACTCATGATGTTAGATGATCCATTCATCCATTTCCAACCCAGGAGTCGTAAGTGGATAGGTTTGCCAACTAAGGAAGTCTTTACAGCGGGGAGAAAAATGTCAAATCCATCCTACGCAGGATGGAAATTTGGAAAAATGGAATTGAAATCGACAGCAAAGGATGCATCATGATTCCTGAGATTGGGTAGAAGCGAGGCAAGCCAACTTCGAAGTTCTGCAGTCCATGTGTGATGAACTAAGCCAGTTAAATAAGTTGGGGTAACTGAACTGTTGACCAGGACACCCCAAAAAAAGTCAGGGCTCGGCTGAAGAACATGGAGAATCATGGTGATATGGCAGTGTGTCAAAACCAATAGTACCCCTGTAGTTCACATCAAAATAGCTGGTAAATAGCTGGTAAATGGATGTGAATAACCCCCTAAAAATTGTATTTTCATAGGTATTGACCCATACCCATATGGTCCACCAAGCCCCATGGAACAATCGCGGCTGCCGGTGAATCCCGTGTGACCCGGCACTTGCATCTGAGTAGCACGTGCCCACCAATGCGTTGGGAGGCTCAGATAGTTCAAAATGCAACGCGCAGAGATCCCCGTGGAACCTGGTGAAGGTGAGGTGATTCTGGTGCTTTTTCAAAATATGGGAATGGTTCATAACCTGTAACATGTTTGGAGGGGATGAACATCCATTTGCCAGATTTTACCAGATTTTACCAGCCTTTTTGCCGATTGTGATGGCTGGCGAACCTCTCGTTCGATCCTTTGTTCATCCAGGATATTCGATCTTTACTGTTGCCTACCATCTGGTTATGACTAACCGTTCGCCATGGAAAATCCACCCATTTTTCAGTTCGGTAAACCATCGAACTTTCTATGGGCCATCGAAAAACCATGGCAAACTGTTAGTCATAACCAGAGGGTATGTCTACATATATATATATATTATATATATATTATATATATTATATATATTATATATATATGTGCATCTATCTATATCTATCTCTAACATTGATGCCTCTATACTATACATTGATTGTGGTATAATTTGCACCACGAATCGATTCCAAGATCGGGCTGACGCCAACCACCCAACACCCCAGTTGGCCCCAAGGCCCCAAGGGGATGATCGGGGACTGAAAACCACTCCTTGGGTTGAAATTGCTGTATCATTTTGGATAATAATATATAATAATGGATAATTAATATGGTTCCATATATCAACATAGTATTATCCCATCATAATGGTCCCATCCTAAAAAATAACAAGCAGGGCAACCCATTAGAAGCTCATAGATCTCTGAATTGCCAGTGGAAATGGTGACCGGATATACCCGATCCAGCCTTTACACGGACGTGAAAATCTTTCATGAAATCTGATGGTTTTGGAATACCCTCCGGGTATCAAACATAGCAAACGAAAATCCTCCACAAAAATATGGAAAATATATGGAAAACATATCACAAAAATTGACTTTTAATGGGATTGTTTTTTTCTACAGGGGGGAATTTGCCAGCAAGCCATGCTTCATTTTACGCCTGAGTCTTCGTCCACCGCCGAAGAGACACCCTCGAGGTACTCCAAAGATTGCCTTGGAGCGGAGGCAGGGATCCCTGGTTTTTCATCAATGAAATATAGCCATTATATAAGAACAATCATAATAGTAATAATAAATAATATGTAATAATAACAATAAGAGTAATCATAATATGATCCAATATATTCCAATATGCATCTATAATGGTGCCCTGTAATACCCTCTCATAGATTTAGCAGAAAATGATACATCACCATAGCATTGTGAAATGCATACAAAGAAACCATCCTCTATCATACACCAAAAAAAAATGTGGAAACGTGGAAACTTATATGCCAAAAAACGGCGAAATTATGGAAACTTATATGCCAAACCGGATATTTTTGGGATAGTTAATCCCAAATCCCAAGCATCATATCTAGGGACGTCGTGTTGATGTCCTTATACATCAAACCCCAAAGGGATGGAGTGCACCAGGTACGGCAGATCGGAATCCACGAGAACTTGGGTATTGTTCGCTACTAAACCAATGGGATTAGCAACACCAAATGGAAAGAATGATGATAGAACCATATAGAACCAATGAAAATGAGGTTTTTAGCCACCAAAAAGTGGCAGAGAATCAATAAGAAACTGGTGTACAAAGCCGTCCAAGCAAGCCACGGCCCTCGGAGGTTGAGAAATCTACGGACTTAATCATGATAATAAATGATAGTGGTCGATTATTGAACCAAATGATGCTCCCCAAACTGCTACACCTTGCGATCCTTGCGGTGGTCGCCAAGTTTCATGATGTGTGAAAAGGTGGGTGTCTCTTGTACTGCTTGAAGCACAGGACCCGCAGCTGCCACGAAGGACATGAAGTGGTTCGTTAAGATCTTGCTATCCTTAACCAAGCCCGGTGACCAAAACGGCCAGCCCGAACCAGCTATCTTGACAATGGGAAATCCCCGACAACCGGAGGGTTTATAACTGGGAAAATCCTGGAAAATCACGAGGTTTTCCAGCTAATCATGTTTGATTACCAGAGGGTATTCAGCGCAAAGTTCGTGCAGGGACCCAGGGATATTGGGATGAACTCGCCAAAAGGCTCTGCAGCTCTATCAAAATCTCCCCATGAAGATAGCGGAGAGAAATCATCGCTGATGTATTCCACTGCTTTGCAGAAAGTTGACCCATTTTGACACATTTTCATCAACCATTCCCATCCGCAGCGGAACGCTTCGCACAGCTTCACGGCTGAGTTGCCACCTTCCGAGTGCTGGAAGAGACGCCCATCACCGACAGACCAAACAGTAGCAGGTCCTGCAGGACGAAGCGCGACATCTGAAAATTCTGCTGCCAGCTCTGGGACGGGCACCGCACACCTCGAAAATTCCACAAGGGACAAGGCTCATCAAGGCTCATCAAGGTTCCAGGTCGAGGCATCAAAAAAGTCAGGTCTTTTATGCGACAATTCGGGCTGTAGATGATCTAGATTCTAGATCCAAATGCATCCAAAGTCCCAAAGAAAACTAAGACACCACCACCTCGCGGTTTGGAAAACACCTGCAGCTGTGGCCTTTCACACACAGACGCAGCCGGGCAACACACAAAGACCGTGTTGTCAGCCGGCCCAAAGTTGGTGGCGCATTTGGTGCAGCCCTGCCCTGGGACACGTGTTTACATTTAGGCGATCACTTTCAGTCAGAAATGTTTCATCCCAAAGCCGTTGAAACAAACAAATCGGCGTGTTTGCCCAATGTGGTGGGCCCCTCAAATTTGGTGAATGGGTTGATACAGGGTTTGAGTCATCTATACCTGGAACCGGAGTTTTTTTCATCAGAGCTCATGTTGATTCCAATTACCCTCTTCATATCTGCCGTGATGGGCCCATCATCCCTAACCGCCCTAATACAATAAATACACCCTAGACACCCTGGTCTAGTATTGGATCTAATCATTCATGTTGAGGGCCATGTAAGATATTTTGGTGTCAACGGGATGGCATTGCGAATTCTATTTTATTTTTAATTTTTTTTACCACCCGCACTGGAAACTACCCTTGCTTTTAACCCTAAATACAATGGTTTCCTGTAAAATGTCCCTTTTTGATATTTTTTGTCGGTGTTTCAAGGTGTTATCAGCGCACGGCTCTACGGCTTCTGGCTGCCCGACTACCCACCTTCGTATCCATCCGCACACATCGCACCCCAGCCATCGGTAGACACGCTCCCACCGACACAAGCCATGCGGTTCGGGCAGCGAAAGCTTCGCGTGATGTTGGCCTGGTGCAGGACCCGTGTCCCACGTGTCCCAAAACGAATGGCTATGGTTTGATTCACTGCACCAAAGCATGGCCAAACTATGCCAGAGCTCAGTTGCCTTCAAAAAGATGTAGTTGGTTTCTTCCATTTCTATCCATTTCTCCATTCATGGGGGAGAAAAAAGATGCAAAAAGACCGGAAAACGGTTTTGAAAACCCGTGAAAACCCGTGGCCATCGTGCCTTCTGAGTCATGAAACCCTTCTTCAACTTCAAGTGATAGGTATCAATCTCTGCTGTGCCCCGGGGAGCCGGCCAACCTCGCAAATTGGCATCTGATCAACAGCAACAGGAACTCATCGGAAAGATTGAACTTATTACGGGTCTATAAAATGATCCACTCCAAAATTGTGTGCATTTGATTTGCATATTATACTGTATATCCTATTCGTTCCTATTCCCCTTTTTTGTCTTTCAAAGCAAGCTCCGGGAACCCCCCCAGCGCATCTTCAAAGCCATTACCCCCCTGCGAAGTCACCTGACAAGGTGAACCCTCCATGTTCGATAGATTTGTTTCATCCACTGGGCCAGGGTTCGGCATCTTAAAATACCAAAGGGTCATCGAGGTGAAACCCCAATGTTTGATTGTTCAATCCACATGTTTTGTTGTTCAACTTCCATACTTCAATTTTGACAGCTAGATGATGAATCTTAAGTCCTAGTTTTTCTTGGTCGAAATCCCCATTGTTTGACTGGTTGATATACCACTTACAACCCCCGCCCAAAACATACCAGGTAGTGACACCATGCCACACTGCTTCGTCGGCAGCTCATCGTCAAGGACGGGTCCACCACTCACCTTTGAACGGTCATGGCGATGGCTGCTGGGAAGTCTCAGCAAATGTGGGAAAACCATGCGAAAATATTGGGAAACTCCCCGAACTTAGTAACTGAATGTAGGCTTTCCTTCGCTGGTGAAAACATCGAACTATATATATATATATAAAGCCATCTTTGAATGAGCTGATTACCATGTCAATCCAGCTTGGGATAACCACCTTGTTAACCCACCCACCCACAATGATGGCTTCAACCCAATTATGTTTGAACACCCTATCTGAATGTATCTGATCTATCTTTCTTGTTTGGGGTTACAGTATGTTTTTAGATGTTTCACCAACAATACCCAACAACCGCAGCAATAATTAGATATAATTAGGGGGGTTGAGGGATGATGGTGGTCAACCAGCAAACATGTTTTGGGGTTCTTAGCCACCAAAGATCACAACAATAAGTGGGAATCTTAACTATCTTAGATAGAGACCCTAATGGCCCTAATGCCAACCAAAATCAGGGGCAAACTGTAGATTGAAATGGAGGGACTGGCTCAATCCGTGTGCATCATGGTGCAATCCTCGACAAGGCATGTCGTTAATGACCATGCAGTAGTCCAGGTATATGATCAAATTGCGAGTTATACACTTACCACGATGTTAAGAAGTTCTTCACAGGTTGCTAATTAATCACATTTTCCGGACTATATCCTACATTTCTGTCAATCCCTCTCCGTGGTATAAGATGTCTAGACGGCAGTTTGTATAGTATTGAACCTGTTCATGAATTGTGGGCCTGTAAGAGGGACATCTTATATGATTGGGCAATGGCGGGATTATTCTACCCAACTACCCAGCCTTTCTTGATGATATCTATCATATTCCATCATATTTCATCATATTCCATCATCAATTCCATCATCAATTCCACATTTAACTGGTACTTAAACATGGTTCTTGATGGTTGTATCCAGCTAGATGCTTCTCTAAATTGGCCTTCGGGGTGGATCCGAGGATTTTTGGCACCTGCAACTTGTTCTCCTCACAGCTGCGGCAGCCCACATGATGCGGCTCCTTGAAGGAGGCCAAGCCATTGTCGCAACGCACCTAAGATGGCAACGGAGGAAATGCTGGAGAAGATCGGTGATCTCTGGCTATTGGCTATGGAAAATGGATGAAAATATATGGAAAATAGAAGAAAATGGATGAAAACATATGGAAAATGCTGAAAATGCTACGGAAAATGGATGAAAATATATAGAAATGGAAGAAACTGGATGAAAAAAATAATGAAAATTGCCTATTGATCCATTTATTTCAATCAAGATCTGATATGATGGGCACCTTTTTCCTAGATGATCAATGCTGATGAATCACTTACCTTGGGGCTAATTCATCACAGATTAATTGAAGACTACTCCAATGTTCTTTCCTGTTCGGAAGAATGATTTTGAAATGATGGGTGTTCAAAAAAAAACACTGGAGGGTGTTTTTCTGGTATCTAATCTGACTCAATGGTGATTCGTGGTGCGTAAGTTGGTGGTGAAAAGTTATCAATATAATATAAATATAATATATATATATATATGAATGCTGCCACGTTTTCCAAAATTTAGAAATTTGGGTAAGAAACCCAAAAAATGGCATCCTTCATCAAGATCACAAAATCAACGCCGGCATTCTAAGTTTACATTACTAGAACGCATCCCCCTGAAAATACCCAATCAAAACATGCCAAAACCATGATGGAAGTAAAATCTTCTGATCAAACTTAGATGTGGTCATATTTCAATAGATCGATGAAACCTGACTAAGAACCAACACCCCAAAAAAAATGCAAAATGTGTCAAAAATGCAGGTAAAATTTGAAAAATAACATCCGTTGTTGGTGAAAATCACAAGATAGATGCCGGCATTCTAAGTTTACATTACTAGAACGCGGCGACCTGACAATTCCCACTCAAAACCATGATAGAAGGACAATTATATGATAAACAATTCGGTGGGCACGCATTCTAAGATCTCCATTACTAAGATGCCTCGACTGAAAAAACGGGGCAAAAAAGTGCAAGACCCCACTTTTTGGCATTTTCCGGTGACTTTTTTGCAGCGCGCCGTTTCCAAAATCGCATTCTAAGTTTCAGCTTGTCGCTATAGATATAATAATATACATATATGTGGTATATGATATATGCATATATAGTAATTATCATGAAGATTCATGAAGTATCCACTTGGTCGAAAGAACAAAAAAAATGTTCCAGTGGGATGATCCAGGGTGTCCTCCTGAGGTTGCTCCGTTAAAGGCCAAGCCAACGGCCGTGCGGGGTGTTGGCTTAATTTCTAAGTATGATTCAATGGTGGGACATTACTCTTTTGGGGGTCCAGCAAAAGATGCAAAAGACTGTGGGCCACACTTCTGAATGCACACCCAGGCACGTCTTTCAGATGAATTTCTGGCGCCACAAACCAAACGTGCGAAGTATTTTCCACAGACACCTTAGTAACTGCCGAGATGGCCCCCTGGGGGAACCCTCCTTAAGACTTAAGTCAAAGAAAAAAACAGCCATCATGACGTCTTGTCTTGGAGTCTTGGCCTTGGCCACCTCCTCGGCCTCGTGCCAGAATTCTCCCATGGCCTTCACCTCGGGGTCCCCGTCCCAGGCACGTTGGACATCTGGATCAACTTCAACGCGGAGATCTGCGGCGCGGAGGTCTGTTGCATCACCACGCCCGGCACCTCCACCGAGCCCACGGATTGGATGACACCGCCCGCCAGGCCCGAGACATTGCCTGGGCCCGTTCTGCCGGGAAGTGGGGAAATTCGAGCCACTTCCCAATGGAGCCCAAAGAACCGAAGAAAAATAGGACAAACTAACTGAACACTGTGATTTTTTGGGGCGCTGAGATTTCAACTTTCAAAACCCACACTGGAAGAAATATGAAGATTGTTTTTCTTTGAGGCGCAAGAGATTTCAACAAAAACTATGTCCAACCATTTTCAGATTCATTAACAAGGTACAGTATGGGTCAAAATCGGGTACAAAATATTTAACTTGAATGACTCATACGAAAAAATCAGCCACTCTGCAATCCGCTGGAATTTATTTGATTTTGACCATTTCCAACTCGGTCATGGCCCAAAACATTGCCAATCTTATAGATAATTACTCTGCCAAAAAGATGCTAAAATCAGCCTTTTAGTAAATATACCGGCTTGTACCCCAAGATGAAGTTGTACTCTTAATGGCACATTCAGTTTCCCGAGATATTTGCCCACTGCTTTTAGATCCCCAGTTTTGTTGATAAACCCCGCAATTAGGGGGTCATGCCACCTATAACCATTGATGATGATATTCAAGATTCAATTCTATTGTAGGCGATAGTAAATCAGCAGGCAGGAATTTCAGCCCGGTTTTTCGCCCGATCTTTTTTCCGAGGGAAGGTCTTGCCTTTCTCTCTGCAAAAATGACAGTACTACGTTTCGGGAATTTCGGCCTGTTTCGTGGGTATTTCGGCCCGAATTGCACTTTTCAGAAATTGAAACAATGGTTCGATGTGTTCATTAATTTATGAGTTATATTTACCAAAAAAATATCATCTTATACCCCCATAGGTGATAGGAGAGATAGTTTGGGATATCCCTTTTTGCACTAACAGTGAGCACCAGCGGATGGCACCAAAATAGCACAAAAAAATACATCAACAAACGACCTGCTTTTTGGTGCAAAATGTGTGCCTACCTGGTGTTTTGTAAGCTAAAAATGGTGCTAATCTCTGGTGCTTTCTTTCGTCAAAATGATGCTTGTGGCTGGTGCAAAAAGTGTGCTCATCTGTTTCTTGTTCCGTCAAAATGGTGCTCATGGCGGGTGCAAATTTGGTCGCATGAAACGATAGCGAACAAAACCGAATATGCAATTCATTTTGTGGCTTGGTTTCTGGCACCGTGAAAAGGAAGAAAGCCCTGTTTAAAGTGTCACTGGGCGGAGAGCTAAGCCAAGATATAGTTGGTACTCACTTGCAGTATCAGTTGTATCAGTCATATCATATTATATCCACAAAAATATCATCAACCAAATCTGATTTAAAATCATTGAGGTGCGCATGCTGGGTTTGGTGTTGTGTCAAATTTGTGTATTATAATATAGTAATAATTCGTCTTGCCTGACCCCCACCCACTACAAAGAGGTAGGACAAAACACAAAATGAAATCACCACAAAATGGATCATCTCTAAGATAGGCCCTCACTACAAAAACGGTGGGATCCTGAACAGGGTCTCATATGATGCCCTTAAAGTCCAATTTTTGGAGGGTGCATTTTGTAGTACGGATTTTGCTCCGCAAAATCGAAGGTCATCAAGCGATGATTTTTTACAACTGCATTTTGTAGACTGGTCATGATCCGAGTCGACAACATGGTCACTACAAAATGCAGTGCTAGACCCCAGCCTGCCCATGATATGACTCCGAAAACCCCTCGCTACAAAATAGTGGGCTCCAACACCAAGATTCCTTATAAAATAGCCTGACTGACAGCTTTGAGTGGACCTAAGTCCAACCATTCTGTAGTGGAAATTGGAACCTGGATTTAAAATCTGTTTCAAATCCCAACTCTGCTTAAAATCATCAATCTTAAAATCCCTATGAAATCACGATATTTTCATCATCCCCATATCTTCCACGGTCGTCAACCGCTCAAGCTGCGAAAGAGCACGTCTCCCAGCAGCTGGATATCACGGCCATGCAGCGCCCCCCCGAAGGCGTCAGCGATGCAGTTCAGGAACGAGGCGTGCCCCAGCCTTTTTTCTCCGGAGATCACCGGGGCCCGTGGCTTCTTTTGGCCAAGAATGGCCGTTTTTTGCCAAAGAAATGGATGAAATCTGGGAAGCTTCATATGTAGTTCATATCACATCTTAGATATTTTAGAGTGACAGGTTCTTACAATATTGATCAATATTGTTCTTTTTTCACTGTAAAGTTTCATGACTTGTCTTTGCATACTACAATACAGGTGGCCCTAGAGGGTGCAGGTGGGTGCCAACCGGTTGTTGTCCAAAGAAAGGTGGTGCAACACTACTTTTACAGTACCATTTGTTTACCATTTCTTGAAATTACATCGCGCTCAAGACTGCAAGTCATAACTTTGGATGGTGAATAGGTCAGTGCCAATCATTACCAGAAGCTACAGCACATGTCAATCCAAAGGCATCAGTTTTCCACCCAAAGAAACATCTTGCATCCAAACTGTCCTCATTCAAAACTGCTTCGAACGATCAGAATTCTAGGTCATCCAACCATCTGTGACCCAAAAAAGAGGAGAAAAAGCTGTTCTCAACCTGATTCAACCATATGGCAGTGTGTCAAAACCTTGTACCCCTGGTGAACATCAAAATAGCTGGTAAATGGATGTTCATCCCACTAAAAATGTATCTATAGGTATTGAACCATACCCATATCTTGTACCCTTTGTCCAATCATGGGATATCACCTCCATTCAGCGCGATCCAAACCTAGGCGCTTGCGCGTGAGCAGCACATCGTTGCGCGCGAAGAGCGCGCCGCCGGCGCCAGCCTTGCACCCGCGGAACTCTGAACTGCCGTTTAACCTGACGGCGCTGGCTGAGGAGCGCGGTTAAAGCGCTTGGAGGTCGGGTAGTGCAAAAAAAACATGGGCATAGGATCACCCACTGCTTAGATGGGTTAGATTGATATAGATGAATGGGTAAGTTATGATCATTATAATCCATAGGGACTGATATGAATTGATGTTCCCTTCCGAATAATTCGATATTTATGACATGAAGGTTACCCTCTGGTAACCTCTGGTAGTTGAACTGTTTGCCATGGAAAAACATCCATTTCTAAGATGATTATGATGATTATGATGATTTACCATTCTTCTTATCCTATATGGCCACTTTCCATTGCCATGTTTGATTACCGCAGGGTAGAATGGGAGTGTGATCGGTTTTCAACCCCACCTGGAAACGGACAGCTTCCAACGTCACCATCCAGTTCAATGCCCAGATCATCAACTCAAAAAGGGGAACCATCTCACGGAAAAAAAATAATGTATCCAAACATATCCAAACACGACTGACACCGTTCTCATAAATCTCTTGTCTGTGGCACTGTGGCACAAGTTGAGAGTTTCCACGTCACAAGTTGAGAGCCGAGGGGCAGCACCATCCCCTTGACGCCTTTCAACTTCCTGAGCCGAACTTGAGAGCCCCAGCGGAAGCAACTCCCGTAGGTATTGAGGAGTCACGACATCCAGTGATATGGTTTGATCCTTTCTTGAATATGCCTTGATTTATTGGTGTTTATGGGTTAGTCTTTGTTGGATACACCAAGCTAAATGCTACTTGTTGCTGGTTATATACAGTGTTTGTGGAAGCTACTGTGTGCCATCTCTCGAGCAAGGCATGCCGGTCTGGCATTCGCAGTAGTGGTTTGAAATTGATGCATCACGCACAGTCCAAGAACTACATAAGGCGCCGGAAGTAGTATCAATGCACCCTGTAAGAAACAATTGGGCACTGTAGAATCCGGTTTCGGACGGAGGAAACCGTCTCGGAACACTGCATGTGCAAAAGCCGGGTTGGACTATCGAAGGCTAAAATTATCAAATTCATGCATATCATTTACCAGCTGTGTTTGACTGGTGCATCCATCTGCATGTTGATCCTTACCCCGACCAGCAAAACCCAGTGTGGCACACTCTGGTTGCATACGTGGGTCTGGCTCAAGAATGGCCTACGGTTTCGGGACCACAAGAACTACACTTTTGATGTGTTTGTCCAATTTGCATCCATGTATGTTCAATGGTGTTGCCCTCCGGTACTCAAAACGTGTCAATGGAAAATCCATCACTGAGTTCGATGATTTTCCGATCAAAACCTCAAACCTCCATTTACAATGGATTTTCCATTGCCACGTTTGCTTACTGGAGGGCCATCCATTTTAGTCCCAGTTTGTGCGTTGAATCCCCATCATCCTGTCATCAAGGGATCCTCAGAAGCCAAGGGGCGGCGCATACCTCAGCAAGGCGCGCCTCCAGGGGGGCAAGTTGGACACAGTGGACACACCTCAAAAAATGATTTAAAGATATTTAAAGATATGTAAAGTGAAGTCCCGTGACTCTATTGGCCACCTTACCCCAAAAAAAACGGCGGCTAGTCATATCACTTCATCCAATTATATCTGGTTGAAACTCCAAAGGCCAGGCCCGAGTTTTTGTTGGTGAGTCCTATCAGCCGACATCCCAAGCTACGCCAAGCCTGGTGGACGTTGACGCTGAGGGGCTGTCCTCATCACTGTCACTGGCTTTGGACTTTGCACCTCCTATGTTTTCCATGTTGACGGCATCGTTGATCGAGGCAGCCCCACCAGAGCGCCGGGCTTTGCAGCTCAAGAACTGCATGTGGCCCTGGGGAAAGCTGGGGAAAGGCCCGGTGGTTTAACCGGTTTAACCCTTCGCGAACTGGAAAATTGATGATTTATGATTCAATTTATGATGATTTACCCAAGAAAAGTGATGACTATCTGATTGTTGGTGTGAACCTGAAAATGCTGGTAAAGTGAGCATGAGGGATCATCCCAGAAAATACCATATGTTTGAAACCACCAAACCACCATGTTGGTATGATATCCAATCTCCTGTTTTCACATCTTTCTTGTGAACAATTTTTGGTTGAACTAGGACTGCTGTGCATAGACGGCCGTGTCGTTTTGGAGATTCAATGTATTTCGTCACTGTCAAATGCGCCGCTACACCGGTTTTCACATGGAGCCAAGTTGTTGTGTTTTGAATGTGGTCGTTACAAGCAAAAGTTGCAAAGCATGTATATAGTTTTACCACAACGAGGAGTTGATTTTGATGGTGCTTGGATTTGACGAAATTAATTTGGCATCATTTGATCGCCATTGCAGTGGTCAACGCAATTCTTCCAGCTTTGCCAGAAATTTCCATGGTGCAGTTGTTCCGAAACTGTCTCCAACACCACATGTATATGTAGTCAGGAACACTTGGGTGCATCTTGGTGTGCCCTTTCTCTTTGCACTTCATGCACATGTGCTTTAGCAAATAGTCTTTACAAGAGAAGATTCTATGACGTAGCATCCAGTGTGTGTAAAAGCAACAGAAGATCGTAAAACGTGGCATCCAGTGTATGTGCAAGTGCAAGACGAAGAATCCTTTGACGTAGCATCCAGTGCATGTGCAATTGCAAGAAAAGCTCCTATGACGTAGCATTTCCAGTGTTCCTGCAAGTGCAAAAGCGATTCTATGACGTAGCATCCAGCACGAGTGCAAGTGCAAGAGAAGATCCTTTGACGTGGCATCCAATGCATGTGAAAGTGCAAGAGATAGGACGGTAGCGTAGCATCGGTTTGAGCACGCAAGGCAACTGTCATTGCCACCCCCTCCACCCCAACCAATCCATATGAAGATGTGCTGAGGTAACCAGGTAGCATCTGTGGAACTGCAAGGGAACCATCCGTGTGAGAACGCAAGGCAACTGACGTTATTGCCCCATCCCACCCCACCCAACCCACCCCAAAAATGAGAAAAAAACTACAAAACCACGCGACCGTCTACGCGCCGCAGGCCAACTAGGATGTGTATCCCTTATGCCATAAACAGCTGGATTTATCACTAGCCAAATTCAGTGGACTAACCAACTGAGCCCAAAAAAAATGGTTCGTAGTTCGTAGCCGCAAAAACTGGGCAACATGCAATTGAGACTGACTTAGAATGACTTGCGATTCCTTGAACGCATCAAGGGACGCAACCAACAAAAGCTAAATGGAACATTGCAGCAACTGACAAGCCCTGCCTGTTGCGACAAATACACGGCAAAAATTGCACCGCCCGATTTCTTGCTCTTGCATCGCTTGAAGGTCTGCAAGTGGTGGCTGTGGCAGGCTAGCTTGGATGGGGTCCCACCGTGATTGCTCCAGAAAGCAAAGATGTGTTTTTCCTGGAAAATTAGTTGCAGAAGAAATGGGTTGTGACTTCAAGAAATCCAGCCAAAACAAAACTGGACAGGTAATGTCGCCTTTTGGATCTTTTGGTCGGAAATTGTTGCCGTGTCGGGCAATGTCGCCCTTATCAAATTCAACCAGCTACGGGAAAATAACCAAACACCATCGAAACCCCAAAAATGCTGCCAATGCCTAAAACATGGTTTTCGGAAGAAAAAGGCAGAAAAAAGTACCGTGGTTGCGAAGACACTGGTATAAATTCATGGAGTTGGGGATGCTAGCATCCCACAGCCTCCCAGTGCAACAAAGTTTGTAGCCAGTGCGCCTATGATGCAGCATTCTAGACGCTTCTAGCCTCATAAACATCAGCATCTTTCGATTCCAGGTAATAACACCCCGTATTTAAAAACCGCCATTCATCAACGCTGAAATCCTGGTGATTTCAGCTTGATTTCAGCTAAACCCCGGGGCCCAGCCCCACCATGTAGCTGTCCGTGCTCAGCTGTTCGACCGCGCCAACGGCATGGATGGCGCCCCCAGGACCCGCACCAAGACAGTCTTGGAAAGTCATGTTCCCTGGACGCAGCGATGTGGTTTGGGTTGAAATATGGCTTAACAATGATGATAATGATGAATATTGCTTAATAATGGTTGGTATATATTATGTAATAATATTTGATATTGGTTGGTGGTTGTTGATGAATGGTCATGTTGGTTCATTATGGTTCATATTGGACAGCTATGGTTGTAAACTATTGGTTGTCAAACATGGCAATCGGAAATCGCCGAACTACATAAATGGAGGCTTGTTACGCCATGTTTGATTGCCGGATGGCGCATGATTGTGTAAATATGTTTACCTTTATTGCGGATGATTGTCAATATATAAGATGTTTACCATTTACCTATTTGCCTCTACGGGTTAAGGGTTGTTGATGAAGAGAAGTATTTAGGTGATCAATGATCGTGCTATGTGCTTATTTGTGGTCTGTGTCTCGTTTCATCTGTTTAGTTGTGATGTTCTATCTATATACTTGTCTGCAAATCAGGACAAAACGAATTGAAATGCTCACACTCTTCCAAGTTTGTGGTTCTCCGTGTCAGTTTGTTGCCAAGTCTAGCCTCCTCCCATTGCCATGATACCTCACTCAAATCCCAAGTGCAACCAAAACAAATATGCAATGTTCACAAAATAACATCTTGTTGAGACCGATTTTGTCAGGTTGGAGGCAGTTGGAGTTGGAGGTGCAGAAAAAAAGGGGCTGTCGTTTCCAGCAGGGCCATGGAATTCCCATGTTCCCACCTTTGGCTTCCAAAGCCAAAACGAACATAGCGCCACCGAGCCGGGAAGAGCAAGAGGTGAAGCTCGTTGAACCTGCCTCTTGGCGAAAGACCTCGTTGGAATTGATGGCTCCTCCCTTCCTTGGCGGCCATGGAGGCCATGGATGCCATGGCAGGTGAGTTGTTTTACATGATCCAACCGGTGACCTGGCTGGCGAAAGCTGAAGCTCTGGGGGACCTGGCAATGGAAGATCCAGCTCTGATTTCCCAGGACTTCACTGCCAAGTTCGTCATGTTTGTCTACCCCAGAATGACAAGAACAACGCCACACAGTCGGCCAGACTCCACGGTTGTTGTTGCCAAGCGTCATCGCGCTCCGACAGTTCCGGAAGCTGATCTCTCCCCCTCCCTAGCGAGGCACCATCCCAGCAGCTTCATGGAACACCAAACAAGGCCTTATTCAGGGTTTTATTACCTTATTACGGCCTTATTAAGATTAAGACCGTTGTTGGGGGGCTACCAGGCTACCATTGGGCGGCATCCTTAACCTCCATGAGAACTGATTTTCATGAGTGATTAGGCCCCTAATCAGCTGCTGTTCAACTGCATCCCGGTCAAGGATGTGATGTCAAAGAATGAATCTATACATGAATAATTTAATATATTTTAAAAAATGAAGACATAAACAACCCGGCGGAATTTTCACCGTCCGCATATTTATTACTAAATTATCGTTTCGCCATAGCGAAACGTCATTTTGACTGAAAAAAAGGGGTCTCCGAACTTGATTGTTTAACTTTTCCATCGACAACCCTCTCAGCGTTTTTTCTTCTTCAAGAGGCCCGAAGTCGAATCAAGACAGTTGCTTGATGAATGTCGCAGTTGTCTTCAACAACTCGCGTGGGTTTTCCCACCGCCATTGGAACGTTATTACCCCACCCCACCCCAGCGTAGCGTCACGTATGTGTGGAAGTTGCAGAAGAACGTGCAGTGGCGTAGCATCACGTATGTGCGGAAGTTGCAGAAGAACGTGCAGTGGCGTAGCATCACGTATGTGCGGAAGTTGCAGAAGAACGTGCAGTGGCGTAGCATCACGTATGTGTGCAAGTTGCAGAAGAACGTGCAGTGGCGTAGCATCACGTATGTGTGTAAGTGGCAATGAACGTTATTACCCCACCCCACCCCACCCCACCCCAGCGTAGCATCACGTATGTGTGGAAGTTGCAGAAGAACGTGCAGTGGCGTAGCATCACGTATGTGCGGTAGTTGCAGAAGAACGTGCAGTGGCGTAGCATCACGTATGTGCGGAAGTTGCAGAAGAACGGGCAGTGGCGTAGCATCACGTATGTGTGTAAGTGCCAATGAACGTTATTGCCCCACCCCACCCCACCCCATCAAAATCTATGCGTTTTGCTGGACGGTAAAAAGTCCGTCAGCATAAACAAATACCATAAACAAAACCACAACCCATACCATACCACTACATTACAATCTGCATTGTGTATACAGTGTACATCAGTGTACACATCTTACGTCATCATCGTCATCTCCTGTCGATCCCTCCGTGCGTCCTGGCTGATGACTCCGGCCCAAATGGCTCCACCCTGTGTCGCCGCCGAGCTGTTCTCAATGCGCACCAGGGACCCCTCCGCAAAAAACAGCCTGCAGCTGGGTCACCGAGTCACCAAAACATATTCAAAACATATCAAGACCTGATCATCGAAGATCATGACACAATGATAATGTGGAGGCAAACTTAAGCGTTTGAAGTTGATCTTCAAGTGGTCCTTTCGTTTTTGGTAATTTGGGTGGGGACCATGTTTTTGAATCTGAAGTCAGAGGACAGCACTAATCACTCAACTCGACTCATAAAGCCTTCGAAGTCAAGAATTAAAACTGCCTTTGTGCACACCGCTACACTTTCCACGACCCCATCCCTCACCTTCGAACTGCATAGATGGTACCACCCACGGACGCAGAGCAGTTGATGACATCTAACTTGCCCCGCACTGCCGCGGCAGTTCCCATGAAGGCTCCTGCCATGGGTCAGCTCGCGGCTCGCGGCTGGGTCATGCCCTTTTTGCCCAGCATCTCACAGGGAACAATGTCACACTCGAATTTCACCCAGCTGATGGGGATAGCAGATATCATCTCAACCATTCAAATCATCTTCAAACCCGGACGTGTCTCACATTTCTGGACCCCTGTCCCAGCAGCAAAACAGGAGAATCTGCCAACTCCTCCGTAGTTTTCGGCTCTACAGTTGCGGAGCACCACAGAGCCGGTGGATTTGATGTCCAAGAGCTGAGTTTTCGATCCCGTGTTGGCAGAAAAAGCTGGGGATCCCAGGGGAGCAAGTCGGCAATTATGACATCGTAATCAGCCCCTTATTTGCGGGATATTGATATACCCCACTTGTTACCGGAATGTGAACTCACGAGGATGCATAGATGGGCCCAATGTCGACCATTCCATGGGATGACCCATTCCCAGATCTCCACTGGTCCGAACACAGAGCATGTCAGAAAAAAATGAACGGGTAACCTTCGACAACAGCTGGTTGGTGGTTGAGCCACCCCTCTGAAAAATATGAGTTAGTCAGTTGGGATTATTATTCCCAAAATATGGAAGCAAAAAAAATGTTCCAAGCCACCAACCAGATACAGAGCCCACAGCCCACTGATTTCCCTTCAAAGCACCAAGTGGTTGGATGATTTTTGAACCAGGTTGCGCGTTTGGCCTCGAAGCAGCCTGCAGTGGAGCCTCTACAGCCATCCACCAGCACCCTCCCAGCGACGATGCTATCTTGAGTGGCCATCACCCCACCTGCATTGAGTGCTGAATTTCTCGAGTTGTCTCTTGAAGCAACTGCGTGTGAACCCCCAATAAAGGGGTTTGTTTAGATGATTTTCCTGTTGGATTCTGGGCAGCAGTTGCTGGGTGTTCATGTTGGTTCCCAAGGGCTTAAGCTTAACCACTAACAACTCCTTCACTCAGGACATGTTCATCCCCACCTTCACCGTACTGCAAGCCCGCGGTGCAGTTCTTTGCTTCCAACACACCTCAGCACCACATTAGGAGCTATCCTCAGGTCATTGTCCATCAGTGTGCGAAACAAATCTTGCAACATTTGCAACACATCCAAAGCATGCACATTACCCACATCACCCCGCAACACCCGCATCACCCACATCACCCAGCATCCAACCCCCCCAGCATTGAGTCAAAGATCCACTGGGCGTCTGGTTGAAGGCGCCAAAGTTTTTCCTCTGGAAATTCCGCGCCTGGAGACCTCCCCCGGCGCTGGTCGCGAAGCAGTTCTCGAAGCGAAGGTAGCCTTGCTGGGACGACGGCGCGGCAACCATAGGGAGAAAGAAGGCCAGGTAAGGCCATGTACGGCCTAGAGAAAAGCAACAAAAAGTTGCTAATGTGGAACCTCAACCCACAAATTTGCTACGTTTTTGGGGCTGTGGTTGGAGCAATGCATTCCCTGGAAGATGTGTTCATGCCCTTGCAAAACGTCAAGCAATTCTCGATCCAATCACTAACCCCCCAGAAGAACAAAAAAAACAAAATAAGCTTCGGTGGTATCCCCAACAGCCGCAACGTTTTATCTTTACAAGATGTTCGGAATCGTGCTGCCAAGCCAAGCGCTGGCAACACCTCAGCTATGGTTTCGTGAGTTAAATGGACACAAATCCTGTTGAACCTGACCTGGCTCTGCACCAAAGCCTCCCAGACCTTCTCCGGAACATTCTCCGGAACCCTGTTGAACCTGACCTGGCTCTGCACCAAACCCTCCCGGAACCTTCTTCGGCCTTCTCCGAAACCTTCTCCGGAACCCTGTTAAACCCAACCTGGCTCTACACCAAACCCTCCCACACTTTCTCCGGAACCTTCTCCGGAACCTTCTTCGGAACCCTGTTGAACCTGACCTGGCTGCACCAAAGCCACCCACCCCTTCTCCGCAACCTTCTCCATTTGAACGTGACCTGGCTCTGCACCAAAGCCTCCCAGACCTTCTCCGGAACCTTCGGAACCTTCTCCGGAACCTCGTTGAACCTGACCCGGCACCTGCATCAGTGCACACCGGAGCTATTCTGGGCTGAAGACCCCATTAGCTTACACTGTTGGGGGAGGGGGCGAATTGGTCGTTTGGGGGTTCACTATACTTCACTCCTATTGATCCCACCACATTCCCATCATCCAAATTGAATGGTACCTGGTACCTCCAGGGGCTCGTTACCAGTTGAACCCCCGCATCGCGCCTGCCAGGTGGTACTTTCCCCGGTTCATGTAGACACCGCCTCCATAGATGCCAGCAATGCTGTTGAACATCGTGACATTGCCGCCGAGGTGGTGGAAATCTCCATCCTTCACGTAGAGTCCTCCACCACCTAGGTTTCTGGTGGAAAGTTGCTGGTCATTTTTGGGGATTATCAATAAAATATTTTTAAAGAAACTAAAATCAAATATGGACCAGACACTTTTAGGTACCTAATTTTAGGTGACCATGCCACTTTTAGGTATCCAATTTTCATCGATACGGATGGGGGTTGGGACTTTTCAGCCATGAAGACATGAGACGTGGAGGTCGATGGATCGATTGAAATCTGTTACCCTCTGGTAAACTAACAGTTTGCTTTAGAAAATCCACCCATCTTGAATAGGTAAATCAACGAGAACTAAATGTGCCATTTTCAATAGCTAACTGTAACAAATTACCAGAGGGTACCATCTTTTTTCGAAGGCGCACATTTTTCGAGCCACTGGGCCCCCTGGGCTTTGCTGAAGGCATCGAGAAGTACGATGCTTCTCCGATCTGCAATCCCCAACATCCCTCTATAAATAGTGATGATAACAACAGTATATAATAGTGATAAACGCTATAGTGAGATTTTGATAATGGTAGGAATGGGATTATCGGATTATCCATTTGTCACATTTTGGCCACGGGTGCCCAGTGGCAGCCAGATGGGTACATCTGGCTGCTCTTTGGCACACCTAAACCTGCTTTTGGGCTTAAAAATATTACATCTATATGCAGTACCTGTACCTTCCTCAGACCTCAAGCCAGTTTTCTCCTACGTGGTGGCTGCATTGCGGCGTTTTCCTGCCTTTCAAATTTGTCAGGTGCGGCTATGTCCTCACTAGTCCGCAACTATTCGATCGGTTCCTCTTCACGAATACCTTCCAAGTCTTGCTCTCTTGGCCTCCGGATCCGGCTATCATCAAAGGATGCAAGATGCATCCAAAAATGTGTGGGCACACCTGCCACATTTCGGCCAGCCAGACTGATAGAGGTTTCTCTGCACCTTAGATAGCTTCGAGATTTGCCTGGGAGTCGAAAGAGCATGGGATGACGAAAGTAGCATCGTTGTTGTAACTCTGCAGGCGGAAGGTTCGTAACGATGCCCATCATGGTCTCAATTCGGTGCCAGTCCGTTGGCCGAATAAATTTGCGTAAGGTGGGCATGCCACTGTGGGCGTGCGACTGGCGACAAAAAGACAGATGTACCTCCCTGATGTCCAAGGATTCCGTTGCGTTCGTCAGCAACAAAGCCATTTCCGCCAATTCGTCGTATGCTTCCACTGCCTCGGACATGCTGCTGCCAGTGCGGGCGGCCTCACTGTCTCCGATGGTTACGGGGCCGGAACCATGCAAAGCATCAGGAGGAGCAGAACGCGACGATTGGTCAGCATCTTCACGCATGGCCAACAAACCTCCAAAGCAGGGCCCTTGATTTATAGTTTCAAACATATTTCAACCCCCCCTTTGAAAGAAGAAATCCCTTTGATTGGCCCTTACTGTGCTGATGATGTTGTGGCTACCTTCAACATGTGACCTGCAATCTTATGCATCTACAATAAGCAACAAACTCACCGGTGCCCGAATACCAATGATGGTCTCCTACTGGCTATGGTTTCATGCGCCAACCTAGGTGATTTATGTGACCATACCTACCTAGATCCTAGAAAAATACGGTCGAGACCTACCAGTGATTGCGATACATCCAAAATTTGGATACTTCTGGGCGATTAAGCTACTAGTAACTACCCATTATGCTTCGAGTTTTCCGGAGTTGCGGATGAGATTGGGGCCTCATCGTGAAAGGCATCGTTCCCTTACTGGGAGTCCATATGCAGTGTAATACATATGCGTTGTAATACATGTTGTAGCCCCTTTGAAACAGGGAATGTTCCTGGTGTATCAAGAATTAACAACCAATATCAACCAATAAGATTGGCAACTGCGAATGGGCTATGACTATGCCCAAGAGTCAGTATGCCAGACATGTTCATCACCATTGATATGGGTTTGTTATGGTTTGTTGCTATTGAAAGCTATTGACACATAAAACAGCACCAAACATGGGTATCATGGGGAAATTTATTGGGAGTAACTCCCGTTTTGCCAACATCCGAAAAACTGCCATCTTCAGAAAATGTTTCAGGATGAACCCCAGCGATTACCCCAAGAAAGCATCAGTTGGAGGAGACCTCCCCATTTGAAAAGTCCTCAAAGGCATTGATCTGCCAGCAAAAATTCGAAGGGAATGGCTCAAACTGCTCACAAATTGATTGAGGCACCAAAGAACTTCAGAAGGTCACCAAAAAAACTAAAAATCTTAAAAACCATCAATTTTTGGGAGGATAACCTGGTAAACAATCTTGGGCCACAGCTGCCTCTGGCTTCATCATCCATTTAGCAAAATACATTGGCAACCAATTGATGCATGGTGTTTCTCCGCTCTCGATATCTTCCAATGTATTTTCTTGACGTGTCAAAGTCAATGTCAAAGATTTCGTCGAAACAGCAGTTCATCATAAGCTATTTTCATCAATGCCAATTGAATGTACTCATTTTCGATAACGAAAGCAACATTCACCACACAACTGTCAAGTCGCGCCCGACGGATCCAAGAAACTGTAGTCACTCCCCATGGTGCTGTGTTTTGGAATCTTTGTATGGAAGAGATCTATGGACACCGGGCCATGAGAGCCTTGCAGTGAGACCCCCAAGGCATGTGGAATTGCAACCATACCAGTCGTGTCTGTATCTTGCTCAATAAATTTCAGAAAGCTCTCACGGCTGTCGGCATCCAAGAAAAGGTCCAGAAAGTTGCTACTGCAAAGTTTCTTATTGGACTTCAGTAGGCGTTCCAGGCTGCTAGCATCATCCCCAATGGTGCAGCTGGGCCTTTGCAGAACGAAGCCGCCATCACAAACTCCATGCAAAACCTTCCTTGGTGGTTTGCTTCTAGTTTGCAGTCGGTTTGGTTAAATATATACATATACAGTACATACATCTATATATATATAATTATATTGCCTGCATGGCGCAAAATGACTTTTGAGTAGGATATGCTTGGTGTAAAGACCCATCCGTCGTCGAAAAATGCTAAAACTTGCCGTGTTTGTGTGTGTGTGCGTCCGTCATAACCCAGTGTCTGAAAGCTCAGCATCAGCGAAGAGGCATCGCGCAAGTCGCCTCTGGCAGCCACACAGGATCGCATGGCACGGGTCATAAAGGCAATCACCAATCCATACTACAAATTCATACCCAGGTTGGCATAGAGCATCATGGGCGTCACATTCGCGAAGCCCGCAATCTCACAGTGCTTATAGGCAAAGACCAGAGATTGGATCACATGCGGTGGCAAGGAGGCCCTCAAGTCCAGAAAAGCAACCGAACAGAAGAGCACCCCACTTTGGCAAAGTTTTTCCTGTAAACTGGCTGGGCCGTCTGCAAAAAAATGGAAGTCGGATCATCCTTCCAATTTTTGGGGAAAATATGGAGAAATCAAAAAGACTTAAAACTACCAGGCAGTTTTCCACTGACACCAGGCGCACTAAGTCAGTTTCCTTTAGCACACTGAGGGTTACCAAGGCATGAGCCATGAATTTTGCAAACATCCAGCACTCGACGAATGCCTTGGTATTGATCCTTCCCTGCGAAGCGAAGGCATGCATGACGTAGATCAGCAACGAGCCGAGAAAAACACAGAATGATCCAAGATCCGAATATTGCATTAGCATCCACAATGATGAGCAAACAAATATCAGGGCCCAGTGCACTGCGATCTTATTCTGAAGCGCGATCATTTCGACACGTTTCTTCAGCAAGTCCTCTTCATACCTTTGCTGCTGATCAAGCCCTGGGCCCTCGCAAGGTTCTGGCGGCGGTCGCTGATGGAAACAACTTCGGAACGCGGCACAAAGGTCCGATTTGGTGAGACTAAAATGCCCCAGAAGCAGAACCAGGGCTGCATTCATGAACAGCATGCCCTGAGGAAGGGATTCAAAGTCCACAGCCGAGCGGCTCATTGCTGAGAAATTTCACGGGAAGGATGAAAAACGAGCGCTCCCGGCTCCCAACCGCGACAGCTGATGGCTTGAGGATGGAAAACGCGGAGGACAGCTTGCGGCTGCCAGATTAGCATGTCATTTGCTGGCTATCAGCTTGTAACTTAACATAGCTATTGAAAATGGCCATTTATAGTGAGTTTTCCCATAAACAATGGTGATTTTCCATAGTAAAATGTTAGTTTACCAGAGGGTATCAGCTGGTTGTCTAACGGAGAAAGCTGGGAAGCATCGGCACTGAAACGTCGATGAAATCTTCACGGCCGAGTCGCTCTCCCCAGCTGTGCTGTTTTCAATCAGCAGGCTGCCACCAGTCATCGTGAAACTACCTGGGCTAAAGAGTGATATAAAAATTCAACTATTTGGCTGGTGAATGGGCATTCCCAGCTAATTTTTATGCTAGTGGACAATGAGAATCTCTAAAGATCCCCAATACCTAAAGGGTAGTCTTAGCCCTGGAAAGAATCATCAACCAACAGCTGTTCCAGCTGATGAACCTCGGGGGTTCTCTGCTCAGACAGCGGTTTTCTGAAGTTTCATGTGTCAAGCAACGAAAACCAGAAACATGATCCAGAAATACTTGACCCCTAGAAAATAATGTTCATGGGGGGCCATTATCCCAACTATGGCAAAAGAAAGTGAGAAAAAAAATGAAACCACCAGCCACTGATCTGCTGGGTTATCAGCCAAAATCGGCTATAATATGCCCATCCATGTGTATTATATATATATAACTTACCATCATTAACCACCAAAGGATGATTTAGTCTAGCGGGCAAGCAGAATTGTGGTAGGTGCAAATACCATCCCCCTGACAATTGCAGCCAACAGAGCCAAAGGTCCTACGGGTACTATCTCAAAGTGACTGACAAAGAAAAAACCAATTGGAGTTCTGCGAGGGAAAGGTGAGACGACCGTGCTTGCAAAAGGAATGGGTGCAGAGGCAATGCAGAAAATATACGCTGATAGTATGATAGTCTGTATAATTGCATATATATATATATATAGCAGTGGCATACTAATCTAGCGCCTATATTGAGTCTATATATCTCCACCATGTTTGGGGAGAAAACAACAATCATCTAGATGAATTATAACGATTCACTCAGCTAAAGAGTTCCACTACTTTGGGATACCTTCCGGAAATTCAACATGGCTTTTGATTTGCCAAAAAAAAATGGGTATCTTTTCCATAGCTATGTTATCTTACCAAAGGGTAAGCTCCATTCTTTCCATAGCTAAAATCCATGGAATTCCCATGAACTGGGCCGTTCTTGCCGTTGTCCCCAATCCAATTCCCAAGATCCAGGTGCCACCAACATAAGCTGCCGCTCCCCACTTGGCCTTTGAGCCTCGAGCCACTACACGGCCATTGCTCACCGTCACATTCCTGGGAGTCACAGTGATCATGGCATGAAATCATGGGATTTTCGAGGGAAAAATGGTTAAAATTCATGGACAATGGGGCTTGAACTATGATTGAACTATCAAAAACTTGACTTCAACCAGATCAACCAGATCAACCAGCAAAAGCTCGGGGATTCAACATATTCAACCGGCAAAAACGCTGATTTGAGCAGCAAGAACGGTGATTTTCTCAGCAGCAAAAACAGCCGGGATTCAGCCAGCCAGGGTTCGACCGGCCAAAATTGGAATGCAATTACAACCCTGACCTTCACTAGCATGATTTGTTGGGAAAAGCCGGAGAAGTATATACAGTAAATGGAATTTAAGCGCAAATTTGTTCGGGTACACCCTGCGAAATTTCCTGCAGAAATCACAGCGACAAGTGGCCATGGCATTTAGAACAGGTTTGGAAAAGGGTCACTATGCGGACACATGCCAGATACGGAGTTTCCAAGGATGTGTGTCATGCTACCGATCTATTTCGATGTCAGGCTTTGTCGAAAGGATTTTTACGCAGTAATTACAACCTTCTAAAACCTGACCACAACCTGACCAAACCACTACATACGTTCTGCAGCGAATCCTTTCATTCGTGACCCAGATTCTGTTCAACGTAGAAGGCACCTCCATCATCAGTGCTGTCGCCTCGAGCCAACGCGAGCCAACGTGCGAAAGGATTCGCCGATTCGCCTTTGGAATGTGAGTTTCCCCGACATCCAATCATTTTGTCAAACCTGATGGAAGTTTTTCACCCCAGACTATGGCAATAGTAGTTGCAGCCCACCCTAGCGAGCTCATGACGCATTGCCCCCGTCGTGGTTCAAGGTGTCCATAAGTTTTCTGTCAGGGCGCTTCCGCAATTTATGAACTCCACGTCAGGATCCAAGAATTCCAAAGAGCCCTCGACCTACAGCCGGCATAGGCGAAAGATGAACACATGTCCAAGTTCGTTTTTGCAGAAGCTGACTTCAGGTGTGTTAGATTCGTTGATGGGCATGGTTTGGATGTGCATCTACTGGGCCAGAAGTACACTGTCGATTTGTTTTCAATATCTGTCACTTGGCCATACCTCTGAGCGAACAGTCGCCAACACTTTGGGGCCATGCCACGTGAGGATCATTAGAAAACTCCATCCACAAAATGCGTTTGACACTCGAGAGCACCTAGCCCGCCATTGGTTGGCATGTGCACGCATATGTGTCCAGAATTATTCTTGTATGCATTCCTTATGGGCACATATGACTTCACAAGAGATAACAAACACACACACGCACATCAACAGACATCAAAGTATTATAATGATCCTACACATGCGCGAAAAGATAGGAGAGGATAGGATTGTAAATTGTTGGGATAGGGAGGAAGATGAAGATATGATAAAGACTGGTATAAAATGATATCTGATATATCTGATATAGATTGATTGCTGTGGAAAACTCGATGCCATCTCGATGCCCTCGGTGCCCCAACATCCAGGCAGCGATGCTGCATCGGCAACGCTGCTTTTTGGCTTCCCTTGGCTTTCACGAAGCGAAGGGATCCATCGAGCCAGGCGTTCTGCAGGAAGTGGATCTCTCCAACCACCTCGACCACCTGACGGGACACTGGAAATTTAAGGGGTATATGAATTGGATACCCTCTGGTAAACTAACATAGCTATGGAAATCACCATTTTTAATGGGAAAACTCACTATAAATGGCCATTTTCAATAGCTATGTTAGTTTACCAGAGGGTATATGATGATATATGGATAGAACTGATGGAACGTTGTATGACATTGTATCACTAGAACGTCAAGTTCTGATAGTTCTGGATCTGATTAAGACCTGCATTGGGAATATCCCCCAGAAAATGACCTTGAAACTGGGACGGTACCTCAAGTTTGGATACCCAAATGGAACATGTGCACGGCATCTCTGCTGATGATGGGGATTTCAATGGGCTGATAACAACAATGATGCAGATTTAGCTGGGGGTTTCCATAACTGTAGGATCCCCACAATGGTTGCTTCATAGTGGAAAATCCCAATCTAAAAAAAATGATTTATATAGGGGTACCCGGTAACCCCAGTTTCAGGAAACCTCCGAAAACATGCTCCACTTTTGTAGCTCCGGGCCCGCTTCCTCCTTGATCCCCTGAATTGTGGCGAGCTTCTGTTCCAGGTGCGCCCCTGAGTGTACAGTCCTCGTGGTATTGCACCTCATCCACTGTTGTGTACCTCGTGAGCTCAATGGTTTTAAACTGGGATTTCCCAAAAGCGGCAAGTCCAATGCAATAAACTCAATAAACCTCCAACTGGGGCTGGTTTATCAATAGAAAACATTTAAACAAAGCATGGAAAATTCGTGGAGATGGCTTAACAATGTTCATCATTGGATACGCCCACATTGGCTGAATTTTGCGCCTCCCATCCAGTTGGAGAACTCCTCCCTGGCAGTCTGAGGGTAGCAGCTGCGCATCAAAAAATCCATGGATGCGTTCAGCCGAGGTCGGCCACCAAAAAGAAAGAACTGCTGCCTGAGCCCAATGTAGGCACGGAACCCCAGGAAATTGGTGAGGAAACCGCCAGGGACACAGTGAGGGATGGGTAATTACTGACAATCCAACTTCTCATAGACACCCAGAGTATAGACAGTAATAGACCATACTCTGGGTGTCTATGAGAAGTTGGAGATCCATGGGCATCACATGACCCTACTGGTCCTTCCATTTGGAGGAACATTTCAAAAACCCCTCGGACCACTCCGCCATGCCTGGCACAGAGTGCGCCCAGTGCGCCCCCATCGATGGGCCGGGCTCATGTAAGGATTGAATCGATTGGCATTTGTCAAACCGACACAGAAAAGATGCCAGCTGCTTTCCGGCGTCTTGAGCCCAGAGGACAAAAAAGCGTATCAAACATATCAAACGAGGATCGTCCCTCTATATGAATAGATCGCTACACCAGGTTTCATGGCTTTCATGGGGTGGTATTTGCGGGAACAGACTACTTGTGGGAGCTCGGCAGTCCCAAAGTAGGACTAAAATATGAGACCCATACAATCTATGTTCATCTACAACCAATATCTGCTTCTCGCTTTAGACATCTTTAGACCTCTTTTGACCCATACCGGAAGCCATGCCTAAGTCAGAGTGCTGCCCCACATCGACAGTGTCTGGTCATGGAAGCATTCCCAATGTCATCGGCACCTGAGGCTCTTGTTGCCGCCACGACCTCGTCCAGGTCGCCCTGGCCAATTCTTTCGATGTGTGGGTCAAAGGCCGATCCAAAAAAAAATCAGGGGTTGGTAACTGTCCCATTTTGGGTATATTGGACATCACCTTATAATAGCCATTATAGACCATATACCTAATGGTTGGGTGATGTTCAATGGGGACATTTAATGACCCATGAAAATGAACAGAACAGAAGAACAGAACTCATCTACCCAGGATCTAGCATCTGGCTCCTCTTTTCCTGTCGCCACGCATTCGTCTCTCTGTCCGGAGGGGGGGGTTCACGGTTTCACGTTGCACCACGGTGCCAACTCCACGTAGACCATGCGACGTGGTGCTGCAGTGGCGATGTTCGGATGTCTGGCCTTTCATGTCTGGATATGTCTGGTATAGTTTTGGTTGGGTTGATGGTTTCAATCCCTCTAGAATCAACAACAAACGGCAATATAAGACCTTTTTGTCAACCAATCATTGGAGGCAGCTTGCATCTAGATATATTATACATACATATATATATATATATTGCCCATCATGTCACATGTCCCCATCTTCTATTGGAGACCTCTTCCCCCACCAAAAATGGCTTCTACCATTGCCTCAGCAGGCCCTCGGCGGGCTAACACAGCATCCAGCTGTGCTCAAACTACGGTACTGGGAGCTGCCACGTTTCAATCATCTGTTGCTGCGGCCGGTTTTGCAATGGTCATTGGGTTGGTTTAAGGGAAAATCTTAACCGGAAACCATGGTTTTTACCATGAAATATAGGGCTTTCCTGTAAATTTTCCCATCATCCAATTCTATGAAATGGACATGTCCAATTTTTTGTGACATCTATTTTATACGGATCCAGTCAGTACATGATTCTTTTTTCGCACGTGCAGTCAAAACATTGTAACCTGATGTAACCTGATAATCAAATGCTGCATGTGCGCACATACATATTTGCCCTGGACCGATTCCATGGCATCCTATCTTCATATGGATGGCCTTGGCAGCAGCGATTGGAACCCAGCTTAAATCAGACTTACTGCGTACGGTCAGCGATTGCTGCGTGCAGACTGTCAACATTTTTTTGGTGACCTTAATATACCTCAAGCCTCAATGCATGACAATAGGAGCAAGAAGCTCTGCTCTAAAGCCAGGACAACGTCCAAATATTGCCTTATAGATCTCTTTGATTCAATAACCAACAGTTTTTTTTCACTGTCAGCCCCACTTTCAGCAGTTTCTTCGCTACCCCACTTTTTCACACATTTTCCTAACCCTCTGGGTCGGTTTACCCATTGGGTGCCCCTGGATCTCTCTCTTCCATGCGCCATGCGCCATGCCGCCATGCCGCCATGCCATGCTCGCCGCGGCTATCCGGCTATCCCGTGATGTTGACGCGGATAATCTTGCCATTCAGCTCGCCGTGGTCAAAGGTCGCCACAGCTTTCTTAGCATCCTCTGGCCTTGAGCTGGGATCTCAAGCCGCAACCGGGTTTCAATATGTTTCAATCTTCAGTGAATCTTTTTCAATTTTAGGTCATGCTCTTTTCATCCAAAAACACAGGTATAGTATGGTATAGTAATTCAGAAGAGATTTAAGACCTTATCAAGCATGGATCAGCCGAGACAAAGCCAGGTCAAGGATGCCGAGGGAAATCAAACCGGGAGTGTCCATGAAACATTCCGATTTTCACCTTTGGAATTGGTGGTCATCATGTAACCAATCTTCAAAGTGGGTCCTGTCACCCTTGGTTTGGTAACAAGCCAGTTCAGAAAGGGGGATTCTTAGCGAAGCACCAGCTCAGCCAAGCATTGCATTCAGAAACATCAACATGACTACGGGGTATCACTCCTCTTCCAATGACTCAAATTGAAGCCGGCTTGGATCATGTTGATGGTAGCTCGAATGTTGCTAGCACCGCGACGCCGGGCCTTTCAAAGGATATCCGTGCCGTGCCATCATTGCCTGGACAGAAAAGGGTTGAGAAGGCAAGAAAAGATAGAGGTCGGCAATCTCGCAATACAATGATCAAGGGGAAGCGAAGAACTTCATGGTTCATTCTCATACGAGAAATACCACGTACATATACATACGCAGCATACGCATATACGTGCGTATATTTCTGAGATATATATATATATACAGATATGTGTGTATAGGTATCCGGATTTTCCAAGTACATGCAAGGTGCTGCGCATACGATCCAATACTGAGTGGGTGCTGGGGATTTTTGGACAACCATCTGGGTGGATGTTCTTTGGATCACATGTTACATACTCATCAAAGGATGAGTCGGCACCTTGACCAATCTTATATACCACGAAATATGAGCTAGTTATGTATAGGTCTGTATAGGTCTGTTTACCTCCATGCCCCCCCCAAAACGAAACATCATGTGCATGGGACGTTACCGGGCTATTCTCTTGGCAGATTCTAAGGACTGGACCCATTTTGCAGCTTGTCACTGTGCCAGTTGCCGATTGAAAGGCATCTCTGATGTCCTCGCCGATGCACTGATCGTGAACTCTACGAGGGCTTTGTCTCAAACCGTCAAACCATGGGAGTTTCCCAAAAATTGCATAAAATTGCAATTTTCATGAGGATGACTGGAGAATGATGAAGAAAACTCAAAGTCTCCAACATCAGATAGTCAGAGAACGTCTGAGGGTTGGCCGACTCATAAAAATGTGGCGTGATCCAAGGCCCAAAGGGCCCACGGCCCCGATGTCGTGGCTGGTGAGGCTGGTGCACATTTCCGATTCCTCCCACAGCCCCAGTTCTCCCGCGACTCGAGACCCAAAGGAATATTCTTCACCAAGATCACATTGCCCCTGGCGCCACGTCATGCCGCGTGATGCCACATGAGACATCTTGAAACCCTCTGGAAAAAAAGTCATTGCGGCAAAGGGATATCCCAACACTCAGGAACATCATTGTGAAAGGTGGATGTTCGATGTTTCCATTGCCATGTTTGAGTGGATATACTCCAGGGACCACGAGAAACATTGAAGGAAGACTTCAGGAATGTGGGCACCGGTTGGTACCAATTGGCACATTGGAATAGTCCGAAACAAGGGCTGTCAATCAGAATCCTGATTGAATCCTCTGCAAATCCTCAGTTATTGCCCATACAAATGTTTTGTAAATTAATAACCCCCATTTCACTAGGTGAAATCCCAATTTGTTCACACATGTTTCACCGATTTTGTGACCCAATTCTTGGCCCCGGTTCGTTAGTCTTGTAGACCCCGAGATGCTGAAACTTTGTTCTTTGAGTCGCTTTGGGGGAAACAAGTGGTTGCGTACATTCTGATTTATGGCTGGGTTTACAGTACCACATGATTTCCTCGATTATTCCCCAGCCCAAGATCAGTCACCATGACATCATCACATTTTCAGAATTGTCCCTCTCTTAGCCACAGCCTTCACTATTCACCGCAATAAAACCATACCCCGTTTTAAATCAAAGTTGAGCACCCGGAAACGAAGAAGGCCCAAGACATCCCAAGTGCTGTTGCCATTTCTGGAATCATCATCAAATCTCAATCCCACTAGATGGTTAACTTACTGGTGCTGAACGTAGGGAATGAGGGAATGACCCCAGCAACCCCCATTTCCCATCCATTCCCTACGTAAAACGCACCAGGAATTTAAACCATGGCACCATCCCTTCGTTTCCCATGGAAACCGCCTGGGAACGTCGTCGAAGTAATTCCTCCTTGGCGGAGTCCTGGACCTGTCGCGCGCCGGACCTGCCAGGCTTCCGCATTGGACGAAGCGATGGTGTCGCTAGGGGTTGAACCGTTATTGAATGGGATTTCATGGGGCTTAATTTAACATGGGTTTAATGAGATTTCATGGGATTTAATTGTGTGTGCGTTTAATGGGATTTCATTTATGCTACTATAATGGTGTTTTAAGGGGATTTCATGGGGGTTTAACCTATGGAAACAACATGAAATAACAATAATTCCAGCACGGTAACATGCGTGAACATGCATTAGCAAAATAATGATGTAGCAACTTTCAGGACTTCACGAAAGTATCAGATTGTTCCGCCGAAAGATGTGCGGTTTGCCCACAAGACCGGCGTTGTTTCACCTCTAGAATGATAAGGGTTGAGCCCTAGAATGATATCATATATATATATAGAGGTACCTATACAATACATATACAGTACGTACATGTGTGCGTGTGTGCGTGGAGTGATCCACATCGAAAGGATATACTGACCCAAAACCTGTGGAAATCCCATGCTGCGCCTCTGCGGTCTCTCACCTTGGTCATAGGTCCCCATCCCTGATGGATACTGTTTGAGTAAGCCTCTGGTAAACTAACATTTTACTATGGAAAATCACCATTTTTAATGGGAAAATCCACTATTAATGGTCATTTTCAATAGCTATGTTAAATTACCAGAGGGTAAGCCTCCCCTGAACCTCCCAACGGCTCCGTACCAGGCTGCATCATAGGAGTCTCCGCCGTAGCCATCGGAGCGCCGTGCATAGCCATCGTTCGCAGGGCGCGAGTAGCGATCGGATCCTTGGTGATTGGAGGTTTGTACCGATGTCGTACTTGGAGAATAGATGGCATTCGGAAGAAACAACATTTATGTTGTCTGTGTGTGGGTTAAATTTCAACTTCTCTGTGTATCCTGATCTTTGCTGGTGTCAAATCCCATTGTTGCTGGTAGAATTTCTGCAATTTGTTGGTTTTGTCCCCCATTTTATGAGATCTCAAAATCATATCTTTTGAGTAAAGTCCTTATATTTGTTACTTGAACTACAAGGAACTCATTCTTGCAGCTGAAATCCTCAATTCTTGCCAATTTTGTGGGCTGCCAAAAATCTAGTTATTTCTGGATCAAGAATATAGCACTATGATCCTGTCAGGGAAAATATCCATATGTATGTATATATATATATGTATATTGATTTATTTATTTATTCATATCCATATATATGGAGAGAGAGAGAGAGAGAGAGACATCCATACATATAAATATATATATATATATATCCTGGATCAAGTATATTTCAAAAAAAGGACCAGGATATAATGGGAATATCATGGAAAACTAGTTCCCACATATATATATATACACACACATATATATATATATAAATATACATAAATATAGATGATATATCTGATAATCAAGATCTCTTTCCGATCCAAGTCTCGGTCCTCTCTTCGGTCCCAGGCATCCATGCGATCCATGCGTTCCGCGCGTCCGTTCCAACGCTCCTCGCGTTCCTGTTCGTTGGTGGGACGCCAGGCCTGCGGTCGAAGTTCACGAAGTTCACGGGGTGGTGGATGGGTTGGTGGATGGGTTGATGGTGTGAAATATGGGGAGCTACAATGAGCTACATCTCCATTTTTTGACGCTGGTTTTTTTTGGTGTCAGATTGTGGAAACTAAACATGTTGTGACCATGAATGACCTTGAAACACAGATGGACGGTTCGAGGAGGGTATATATATATCAAATTATACAAATACCGGTAAATACCTTAATGACCCATATTTGTTAATGACCTGCACCTGGGGACTAGCAGAAATGGTGATGGTTTATTAGTGGGCTTCCCACCTGCCATGAACCATCCCACCATTACCAAAAACCTCGCACTTGTTGGTGAGGTTAGGATGTGGGATGCTGATTCTGATGCTGCTGATGATTTTGATGCTGCTGTTGATGCTGATGACGACGACGACGACGATGATGATGATGAATGATGGAGATGGAGATGGAGGAGGAGTGGTAGGACCTGGTAGGAGGAGGGATTTCGGCCCATAGTTACCAACTTGATCCACAAAAATGGGGCGTGCCTGTCGAGGCATCTCCCAGGCTGGCTTTGGGGCTCCCCAGCCCCACTTGTCCCAGGTACCTGAGGTACCTGGCAAAGCGGTACACCTACGGAAGACCACGGTTTCTATATGATATCTATGTGATATCTATATGATCTCTATATGATCTCTATATGATTCTATAATCCACGGATATCCATTGGGAAACTGGTGCTGTTGTCGATCCATGTCTGGAAATCATTTGTGGATGTGACCAGCCAGCAGTGCTATCATCATGGCAGTCATGGACTGAAAAAATCTGTGAAACCACCAGCCAAATCCAATCAGAAAATGAGAAGTACCCTCTGGTAAACTAACATAGCTATGGAAAATCACCATTTTTTTTGGAAAATACACTATGAATGGCCATTTTCAATAGCTATGTTAAATTACCGGAGGGTATATGAACTATCGCCTAAAGCGCAAAATCGTTAGCCAAACCGAAACGCGGTGCCCACCTTTGCCACTCTCCCGCTGGGTGTTCCAAGTCGTCTTGGAGGACCAATCATCATCTCGGTGAAAAAGGTGCCTTTAAAATTCACTCAGTGATACCTCGTGACTTAGTGATACCTAGTGACTTGATGATGCCTCGGGGTCAAACCTAGATTCAACATGATTCAACTGGTTTTGGTTCCCTCAGATGAGTCATGCCTCATGTGTGGATTTGTGGCTGGCAAGCGGGGTACCCACATATTGAATGGCCTCCAATCTAGACCCAGAATCCCCAGGTCATGTCCTCATGTGGAAGTTCAACCATGAAATCCGCGTGTTGGTTATACCCCAACCTTCCATATGATGTTTTTTTTATATCCCAACCTTGCATATGGTCTCCAGTTGCTGTTGATGAACTCTTCAACTCTTCTGTTTTTTTGTTTTTTTTCTTGGATAAGTCTCATACAAGTCTTGTGCCTATAGTTGCAACATACTCCAATCTTTTGATGGAACCCAGTTTTTTGGCCAAAATTCGGAGTGGTTTTGACTGCACCCTCCACACGAGCCTTCGCAGTGATTGCGCCCGCAAATTTCGCATGGAACCCAAAATTGGGATGTAGCGAAAAATATTGGTTCTATATGGGTTCCATGCAATCTTCTGAGGGCGTAATCTCCCTTTTGTTTTGGTTACCTACTCCATCCTTTTCCCAAGTACAGGTCCCAGCCACTTCGGGGCTTGGGTTTCCAGTCGTCCTCCCAGCTTTTACCTAAGGGCCAACGCAGCTCTACGAAATCGAGTGTCTGGAGGGTGTTTAACATGAATAGGGGATGGGATTAGTAAATACTCTCCAAGGGAAACCTGTGCTGAATGTATCCGATTTATTCATGACTTGGGCCACTCCCTCTTCCGGGGTTTGCTTCGTGTCGAGGGGATGGGATTCATGATTCATGTGGATAGAAGACGGAAAACCCATTGGGTGTGTGAACAGATATGTTTGATACCTTGAGATATGGTTATGGGTCAAAACCCTGGTACCTGGATGATAGGTTTTGACCCATCCCCATATCACATTACTTTTAAATCAAGGATTGGGACCCAAACACAACAATCCAGCGACAAGAACAAGGCTCAGACCTGGTAAACCACCACAATCTGGGATTCAACTGAGTTGTTTCCGTGAAGCCACACTACTCGTACACGGTGGGGTTTCTAGGAAAATCGGGTCCCCGCCAAAAAAACAAAGTTAGTACATTTCCCATGGTTTCCCCCTTTTTAATGGTCATATATTGGCGACCTATCGTCCATGTTTGGACAAATCCATGATATTCATCCCAAATCCCCATCTTGCCCTGCCTCCGCTTGCAGACCAATCTTTCTTCGGACCTGGACCCCACCAAATGTTTTTCCCATAAAATGTGTACCTACAGTTTTGATTCGACGCGTGTGTTTGCAGTGTCAAGTTGTATGTAGAGACCTGTATAATATATATATGTATATATTATAATATAATATAATATATATATATGGCCCAGTGTCTGGCGCTCCCCCCTCCCCTGCGGAGATGGTGATGGTCCCTATATGTATATGTAAGTCATATACAGTATATAATATATATATATATATAGATACACATGTGTGTGTACGGTATGTAATAATATGCGTATGTGCAAATGTATACAGGATGTATATGTGTGGGGGTGGGGGGTAACCACCCGTACATATGGGGGGTTACCCAAAACCACGAGACACAGGACCATATATGTATAATTATACATAGTTACATATGCGTATGTGTGTGTGAATATATATGTATATATATATATATGTATATATATAGATATATATATATATATATATTAATATGTATATATATATATATTAATATGTATATATATATGTATGTATGTATATTCCTTTAAAATCCCTAAGAAGTTGTGTGGGCGAACTGGGAGCTTTGCCATGACAATGTGGGTAAAACAACCAGTCATGGCAGCGGTCGACTTCCAGGGCTCCCCCGCTCCAGGAAGTTTCAGCCTTCCAAGGCACCGGTGCCTGATTTGTAAGGCCGAAATTTCGGGAACTTGGACGGTAAAGCTGAGGAGAAACCAAGAATGCTGGTAAGACTAAGGAGAAATGATGTATTTAGACATAGTTGGAGGGTGTAAGGACTTGAAAACGGATTCAAAACAGGTTCAGCAAGAAAAAAGGGGGTGCGATCACCAATAAAAAGTTTAAATACTGAAGAAAAAACTAAAGGGTTGACCACCAACGACCGTGAGGATTTGGCAATTTGAGTCCAAAAAGCCATTAAAATTGGAGGAAAAAACTATTCAGTATCATTAGTATCATTCAGGTTAGTTTACCAATTGGAATCGTAAACCAGCATAATCAACTGGGCATTAAGCATCCTAGCCTCGCTTCCTAACTTTTCAACTTAAAAAGATTCGTGCGATTTCACACTGCAACCCCCATGCTGCAAAAATCTGCAAAATAAACTGCACTCTCAAGCGCCTTCCAGGAATCATTTCCCACGCTCCAGCTGTCGTTGAAGCTCTTGTTTCCCTTCCAGCCATCGGTGGTGTCCTTCCAGCCCTTCCAAGATGCAACGCCCCCACCACCTGGAGACGGCTGCTTGGGGTGTTCCATAAATGGAGGTACCCAAAAAATCCTCAAAATCATCGGTTTATGATGGAAAATCCCATTCAAATGGATGATTTGGGGTACCCCCATTTTAGGAAACCTCTATATTATAAGGACCCAATTTACCCAAGTCTTTCAGCGAACAGCACTTTTCACCCGCGCTGCGCCTCCTGTGGTGGTTTTGGTCTTCTCCCAGCTTTGACTTTCCCAACTTTTGTTGCCTCCCAAAGGCTTGGAAGAAACCCTCCGGTAGCTCGTCAAGGCTCAATCCTTCGAACACTTGGCGC